TTTTTGTGATGGTGTCAGTGGTTGTGTACCTGTGTACTGTGTATCAGAATTTTTAATAAGTTTCCCAAATGAACACTTAAAATAATGTAATTTAGTTTCTTTGGTTACACCTCTATGTTCCGACACCCCTATGTTCCGACTGCACATATTCCTATTCCTAACCCTAACCCTAACCGGGAGTAACACAATCTAGGTTGTCGGAACATAGGGGTGTCGGAACATAGAGCAGTCACCAGTTTCTTTAGTTTCTTTTAAAATGTAGCCTACTATCTCTCCTATTTCTTAATCACAGTAAACAATATACTTTTAAAATGTCCGTCTTTTGTGCTATAATTGTAATCCTTCGTGCAAGTTAGCCTAAGGTCGGGTCTACTAAATGAGATGGAAAATTACTTCACATGATACGTGCTGACGTCATCATGACGTCCGTCTTCCCATACTATCTTTGCTATATGGTCTTTCACTACGTAAAGTTTCATTGGGATATGACTTTGTTTTGAGGCAAAAGTGCCAGGCTGAATAAAACATGTACAAAATCTTTGGGATCTTTGGGGCCTGATTTGGCCGGGCCCCCCTTGGCGAGCAATTGGCCCCCCAAAGGCAAAAGCCATACAAATGTATTTTTGTAATTTTTATGGTAGTGCCCCCCCCCCCCCCCCCCCATGCTCAGGGCTGGCGACAGGCCTGGTTGCATGCGTCCTTGGGCAAGACACTTTTGTCACTAATTGCTTATTCCCACTAAGGAGTAAATTGGGTACCGGTGATGGAAGTGATGGTAACTATATTTTGAATTTAAAGGGAATGTACAACATTTGCTTTTGCTGCAATTTTCAGAAATAAATGGATTTGGAGGATTATTATGTTATATAAAATATTGTTAAACTGACTTGTTTCATGTTTTAGGCTTGTAGATGCTGGAAAAACCAAGAAAACCTATCATGTTCTTGAAGTCTGGTTCCCTGACCCCACTTAAGATGAAACGAAGCAATTAATACACTTTGGGGAATTGTAAGGTCAGAGAATCAGTCTATAGCAGGTTTGTACCCCTTCACAGGTGTGTGATCATTTGCAAAGAAAAGTCAGAATAACTAAATATGAAAAATTAAGAACAGTTTTTCAAAACTGTTCTTAATTTTCTCCAACGCTGATCGGCCAATCAGCGTTGGAAAAATACAGTTTTTCTTGAAAATGTCAGCCCACCAGGAGCCACAATTTTAAAGGATTCTTTAGACTGTCAGTCCCTAACAATTCAGTAAGGTATTTCGTGATAATTTGATCATTTCGTTTTTTGATGTTTGCAAACGTTGTATTTTCCCTTTAACTGTTTGCACCTGAAAAAAAAATGGCTGCATCCAGTTGTATACTCCCCAGGGGACTGAGATTTCTTCGTTTTGGGATTTTTTTCTTCAAATATAAATGGAGTAAAAGAAATATATATAGTGGTTTGTTGTAAATGGATTCCCGCCCAATAGATTTATTAGTATTTTCTTCAAGGATTAAATCAAACAACATTGAAGCCAATGTTTGCATGTACTGGTATATTTTCACTCCAGCCAACCTAAGCTAATAGCTGGTGAAAAAGGCTTTCAGCTTGGTGAAAACCACTTCTGAAGAGTAACGGCATTTGAAATGACCGTGAAATCTCGACTGATCACATCCAACAATACACTTGGAACCTTTAAAGCAGAACAATAAAAATTCCTGAACAATCAGCCTCTCAATTTGCCAGCTTCACTTGAACGTATTCATCTGAGTGTAAGTAAATGAAAACAACCCTGGCATTTATTGAAGGATTGCCCATTAAAAGAAAATATACATCCGAAGGGAATGACGTCTGTAAGAAAGCAGTGGATTGATGAGTTAGTCAACTGAAATAACAAACACAATTTGACAAAATGGGAGAGATGGTTTGCGTTCAGACATAACCAGACAGGAAAGATGTTGAACAAAGAACAAATCCGGCTCTCTTGAAGTCAAGGCTTCGCACTCCAGTAACAAAAGTGCATCTGTTCGATCGGTAGAGAGTTAACTCTAGGCTAGAGCCAGGTTTTTTTTTTACCTCCTCATAACCAAGGCTTCTCTAAAAACATAGCTGTCCAATGACAGAATATCTGATGCATTTTTGGACATCAATGCTTAGCAAACTAGACCTGCAAAGATTGAGTCCATTCAGACTTGGACAGTTCTTAACCAATTTCCACCGGCATTATCTTTGCCGAAAATTTTGATATTTTGCAAAAGGCAACATTTTCCGGCCAACTTCTGATATACAGCCAAACGCCACAAATACTGATTTGCAAGAGTCATTTCAACAGTATTTGTAAAATATTTCTTGCCGAAACCTCATATGTTTCAATACTCCGGGTGCACTGGAGCGTAAATTATACAACAATTAGTGTGTTTAGACATCACCCGGAGGCAAGTCGAGGCAATCTTGACGTCTTAACCCGTCTGCCGTGCCTGTGTATAAAAACAGCCAGTGCGTGTTATCACGTCCTCCGAAGCCAACTTGTTAAGGATGCTGGTTCCTGATGCCCAATGTAATATGAGTTCATAAATTTTATGAGCTTGAAAATGTACAGTTTCATATTTCATTTACTGATATGTCCTTGCATTAACTCAGATACATGCCATAACAACTTTCTAAAGCTCACAATTTGGTGCTCTTTAAATTGTAAGAAATATTCTAAACCACCCCTCCCCCTCTCCCCCATAACATATCCTCAGGAAAATAGAGGGTCACTTTATCTGCAGTGACTACTTACTGATAAATATTGACAAGCACAGGCATTCTATAGCCTTTTAACCTCACTTACTTGTAATTCCACTTCATTACACACCTGCATAGATTTTTAATCATAGTTGCTTGGTTTCATTTTGGTCGACAGTCAATACATGCACGCATGACTTGAGAGCTTTTGTGAGGAATAATTACTTAATATTGGATGGCTTTGAGGGGGATACAAGAACATAACTGCACGAGTCGAAGACAAGTGTTGTGATAGTGAGTGCAATATACATGCATTCTTGTATCTCCCCAGAAAAGCCATCCAATATTGTTACTATATCAGGCTGATTTGATCCAAAAGAGATACATTTCATGGTGCTGTCTTTTAATAATGGCCGTCTGCTTCCTCACTTTCACATAATCGTTAGTTTAGAACTTCAACGATATACCTACTACCTAGTCTATTTAATAGGCAGCAAGGGTCTATGATACGCGAGCAGGCTCAGCGATTAATCATGGAACTAGACTGCATCTTGACCTCGAGATTATGACTATTCAGCGGGCGCCTCCTATATTAGTCTGGGTCTTCCGAATGAAATGAGGTCACAATTAAGTAAAGTTGACTCCGATTGGCTGGCGCACGGGGTCGCATAAATTTACATGCATGCCTAGATATATCAGACGTTGGACCGGAGACAGACCGGAGGGCTCTGTTGTGCAACGGGTGATACTCAGCCTACAAAATACCAGGCAGCGTAAGCTTTTCTAGTGTCTAAAAATCTGTTGGTATTCTTCTTGGCCAGATACGATTGCAGAATATTAACTTGACTGTTACCTTGGTTGCTTTCAAGTATTTTCAGGGTCTTTAGTTCTCAAATTTTGTTGAATTATTCTTCGTTTAGTGACCAAAGCGAATCATTTTTTTAAACTGAGCGACGTCGAAATCTCATGTTTGAAAAGATTACTTTTACCAAAAAAAAATGTCAAAATGTTGAGCACTGCGTCGCGCGTTAGATACATCGACTGCAGTCTTAATTTAAATGTGCCACTATTTGGCACACTTAAATTACACAATTCTTCATCTTCTTCTTCCTTACAAGTGCAGACTTCATGGCTGAAGATAACCGCACTGCCAGAAACACCGGGGCAACCCCTTCTCTTAGCAATAAGTGTTACTGGGTTCTTTTTCATGCATTGCATTACACAACATACGGGACCGACGGCTTTACGTCCCATCCGAAGGGTGAAGCAATAATGGTTAAGAGTCTTGCTTAAGGGCACAAGTGTCCAAACCCGGGCTCGAACTCACTCCACTGTTGCCTCTGAAACACCAGAGCATGAGTCCTGTGCTCTGAACTGCTAGGCCATGACACTCCACAGGGGTTAAGATCGCGCAAGGCATGCGCAGCGAGATCGTACTCATGGAAACAAGGTTGGTTTCTACGCTATTGATTGAGTAGGAACCAGCGAAATACATGTCAATTTTATAAAATACCCGGATGTCTTATATCAAAAACGATATTGTATAGTAATCCAGGTACTTTTTCCCAAAGCATAACAATACGCTGATTCATTTTTACTACATGGAAGCCTGATAGAAATAATAGCTCTAATTGCATCTATGAAATCTGTCAAATATCAGCTAGTCAGCTACCTCAAACAAAATATATTATTACATAATGTTGTTAACATTTTAAGAAACTCATTGTCAATTTCCCACGTTAATCCAAAATGGCAGCCCAGTTAATTTCTGACCGGTGTAATCAATTTAGGCTGGTGCATCAATCGGCGTGATTCAAATATTTCAACATTTCTTAGAGTTTGGGGAAAGTTTTTTTTTTAAATTGTAATAATTCATTGGGAAACATAATTCACTTAAAGCACATTATGCAGAAGCTTAGAGGGATTTTAAATGTATTGGCATTGGAGTTCTGTAGAACCATAAACATGAATATGAGACCGTGATAGAAAAAAACAGCTTCTTTATTTAATTTCAATCTCTTTGATGATATGTTGTTTAATTTAGTACCCCCCCCCAAAAAAAAGACCCAAAGATTCCTGAAACTTGACACTTTCTTATTACACCTTTTATCTACAGGCACCACAGAGAAAAAGCAGTCACAGTAGAAGAGCACCAGAGAAATAAACCGTTGGGGGAGGGGGAATTGGATTTGCTTGCTCCTTGTAGGAATATATTGGCATACTCTCGTGGGAAATGTAATGGAGATTGGATGTGATAATATCTATGGCCTTTTTGTCCGTTTATACTGACCTTCAGCCAAATAGGAAGGCTACTCAGATAATTGACGACATCTTCATCTAGAAAGGGAAAGCGGGCCTCACGTCCATGATCAGAGATAATTCTTTGTCAACAACAAAAGGGGAAACACAAAGACCCATGATAAGACTTGTTATACTGAGAATGATGAAGAGATATTATAATGATATTTGAAGATCCCGTACTCCACTGAACAAAGAATAAGAGCTTAATTACAGACCTTTTTTATGCCGTAGTTTTTCCAAAAGTGAACTTAATGAAGTTTCTTGATTTGATATCCCGAAAAAAAGGCACAGGAAGGAAAAGCTACGATTTATTTTGTTTATCTCATAATTTGATGAACAAGATCATAGTGAAATTTTCATTCAGCAAAATTTTATAAATGCATAATGCAAATAGAGACACACAAGCCTGTGTACCCCTGCAACGGAGTAATTTAATCAACCATAAACTTTTGTTCTTGCTTGTTTTTTTTCCAGTTCAAAAAAATTATTTTGTGAATGTCCCTTACCAAAAGGACAACATTTGTATGATGCTGACTTAATTATTGGTAACTCTTTGTGATGTTTTAATGCGCTGTTCTGGAGGACAATTTAACAGTAAAGGTTGAAGGACCTTTTGAAGGTTGAAGTACCTTTGGAAGGTTAAAAAAAAAAACACGTTCAGGAATGTGAACTCAGCAAACCCTTTTCAGCTCAGTAATGTAAAAAAAGTTCACTTTTAATTTTACTAACTTCCTTCTGAGAAACACTTTGCGTCCCCCTCCCCCCCCCCAAAAATACTAAATGCGGTATCTGTAATTCTTGTCAATTTGATTATCAGTTGTTTTCATAAGATTACCAACTGATGAATGAACTAAGGAACATACATACATACATACTAATAAGTATGAAATGTTTAAAAACTGTGTAAAATTCAATCATCCATTTATGCCCACCCTACCCTCATTTCTCTAAGTGTCTTTCCACCCCTTTCCTCTTGTTTATTGAACCGGTTTTTGAAAAATACTATCCCACTTTTTACTAACAGGTTTTTCACCATTTATTTAAGTGACCGATAAAACTTCTACATGTTTAAAACAAATCCTGTTTCCTCCCCTCCCTACCCACCAACCCTACTCATTTCCAATCCTTCCTTTCTCATTGTTCTTCCCACCTCCTTCTCAAATTTTGAAAACTTGAGGCAAGTTTTCACAATTCCTCCACAGAAGATAAATGTTATCACAGAAGATAAATGTTAATAAACTACTTCTCTTTAAAAGTATAAGAAATGATGCTACATAGCACTGGAAGAAAATGAGAATATGAATTGGAAAATGTTAAATAGCTAGTGCTCACTGGATGGATAGGCCAAACATCTGATGCACACTGTGCCTGTGTCAGGGCTGTTATGACTGGAAAGCAGTGGGGACTGAAAACTTGGCCCCTCGCTCCAGTGAGCACTGTTTCAAATTCATATACTTATCTATCAATCTACATATCTATCTATCTATCTATCACCTGTCTTTCATCATCATGGATATTTTAAAACAATTGTTCTTAATATCTAGTTGTTATCAAGGCTGTACCTGTCATCTCTGCCCAGATTTCTGCTGCCAATCCTCCTGATCTCCATATTGACCTCAGCTACAAGACCACTCCATCCTGATGACCTACACAGATAACATGTACATATGTGCAAAGGTTAGGCTGCAATCCATTTAGATCCAGTTTTCTGTGTTCAAAAAGTGCCATAGTACCTAGTACAAGTATGAAGTGGTTTTTATTTCTGTGTCTCTACAGATTATCCTTTATGACTTAGTACTTGAAACAAAGGCTAATACCTGAGATGGGATTTTCTGGTCAAAATTCATTTAACACGAAATGCCATAAATTAGCATGATCAATGAAAGCTCTTGACACAACAAATTCCTTTTTTGAATGTATCAATCGGATCAGTAGTTTAGGAGATATCATTTATTATATGCTATGCAGTGAAGCCATCATCCATTATGCATTAATAATAGCACCAGTGGCCTCGGAATGAGCCTAATATACGGCTGACTACACGTGCCCAGCCACGTGCGTGATAGCACATGAACACAATATAAAATCCAAAAATACCCACTGTACATCAGTGTTGTAGCCGAGTCACCAATGTCGAGTCCGAGTCCAAGTCCCGAGTCACAGGCCTCGAGTCCAAGTGTCAAGTCACAAGCCTCGAGTCCGAGTCTCGAGTCACAAGCCTCGAGTCTGAGTCTCGAGTCACAAGCCTCGAGTCTGAGTCACGAGTCACTTGTTCTTAGTTGTAGCCGAGTCACCAATGTCGAGTCCGAGTCCAAGTCCCGAGTAACAGGCCTCGAGTCCGAGTGTCGAGTCACAAGCCTTGAGTCTGAGTCTCGAGTCACAAGCCTCGAGTCTGAGTCTTGAGTCTGAGTCTCGAGTCACAAGCCTCGAGTCTAAGTCACGAGTCACTTGTTCTTAGTTGTTCACCAAACTAATCAAATTTTTAAAAGATTATTTTTGAATCATCCATTCTGTCTTTTAAGTAAACCCCAGTGTACACTGAAAATACGTGACTCGATTTTACCTTGTGTGTGTACATGTTGATTTGATCCAAAATGTGTTTTTCTTTCAATTCTCATCCCTAAAAAAAACCTCCTCCATCCTTTCCCTACATGTTTTATCACCCAAACATTTTTTCTCAATGATCCTTTCCCATCCCTACCCCGTGCGTGGCCCCTGGATACGATTTTCTGCGGTGCCGTGTTTTGTCCATGGTGTACAAAAGAATGCTACGTTCGTCGCACAAATATGTAACGTCATGAAAAATGTGACTTAAGTCCGACTCGAGTCCAAGTCCTGGACTCAAGTCCTACAACACTGCTGTACACATGTATAAAATTCACTCTCAGCGCAAACTGAAAGATAATTCAGGCTAAATAAACACATTATATGATAAATGAGACATGTAGAATTCATGTAAAATGACCACTCTTGCATTTAGAAGTGGCTATATCACATCAAAAAAATCTAATTGATTTTTCAATTTGTCATAACTTTCATTCTGGACCAGCTATTGACATTGAGCAAAGCCAAACAAGTCTGTGACCCTTTCATGCAGACAGGGAAACCCGTCAACCTGCCAATCACACTATGGCCGATTGTGGAGAAGCAGTCGAAGTCAAACGTCACTTTAGACTTTATGACCTTGTTGTTCATATGCCATGATATATGAATGAGGAGTGGCCAATCCAACTTACTTGAATTTAGTACGGTGTCTGGAATAGCCAGCTAGTTGTTCATCAGCTCCCATGCCTACAAGCACCACCTAACAAGGGTCAAGTAAAAAAAAAACAATTAGAAAAACCCCAGAAGCAGAAAACTGTGCAAAAGTTATAACAGTATAGGACAAATAAGGATGATATCTTTGGAACGTGGAGAGGAGACTTTGCATTGGGGTACATGTACATCCACCCCACCCAACCAACTCCACCCCCACCCCTCCCTTTACTTAGTGCCTTTGGTCCCTAGTTGTGCACATCAAAAATTCATCTGAACGGTGTATAAGGTGCACTGAATATTTTCCCTCCTTTAAAGAATATTTTCAAGCTGTATTAACAAAGAATAATTTGTTGTCAGCTGAGGGGCAAAAAGTCTGAGCAGCTTAAACTTAAAGGTAGGGTAGTTGATTTGTTGTTTGTGCACTTTTGTTTGTTTGAAGCAACAAAGGTGCTCTAAATCTAAAGACGGGTGCTTTACAACTAACCTGATGAAGTGTCAGCTCCGAGAATGATGCGTATTCCAAGAAAACAGTATTCTTAGATCTCAGTTTCAATCACAGAGCTGTATTAAATTACTAGAGCGCTAACTCCTCATTCTTATGTATGGAGATACTTTGAAGCCGTCGTACGCACAGACATTTTCAAATCATGTGCATGCTTATAGAACATAACAAAATAAGATGGAGTGAAATTTGAAAGTGTACTCTAAATGCAATGCGCAAGTAGAACATTACGCAAACATCTTAAGCGCGTCTTTTGCTGATGGTGCGTTTCAATTTTGAGCGTATCGGCTTCGGTAATATAACACAAACGCAGATATGCAAATAGCCGCACAAATTTTGCGTTTTCCATAAGTTTATTGTACCCAAACAAGCATCACTTTGTACATTGAGCCAGCGCTCTATGGTTTCAATTCAAAAGTTGCCGTGCAATCTTCTGAATTGCATCTAAAATTATTGTCAAGGACACGGTTTCATTCGGCCGATTGCAGCTACGCGATGTCACGCACTGAACTGACAAATAATAGCAACTGTGTGCGCGCATGTGCATTAAGTGTCAATGCTTGCGTACATCCATTCATAGACTCGCCAAATTACAAACCAACTACTAACAGAATTTTCCAAAATGCGTCACTTGACGCATCTTCGGAAATTGCCTTCTTTGATTTTCTTCAAAATGACAGCATGCCAGAAAGAACAATTTCACAGGGAGTTTAGTCCCATTACTATTTTTAAACCAAGTAAGCTTTTCAACAATAATTTTGTCAGTTACTTTTTGGATAGATGCAAATGTTCCACTCTAACTTTTAGGTAATCCTTTGCATTTTTCATGGCCAACGGGATTTGAAAATATTCCCATGTGCTAATGGGTTTTTACAAAGCTGCTCAGTTTTTCATCTACCCGACAAAGGCCGTCTTAGCAGCACGGACCCTGTATATCCTCACCTTGGCAGGGCTTTCATATGGTTGAGGTGATGAACCAGCGTCAGTGGCTAGAAATCCTTGCCCTCGTGCAGCAAACCAGATAGCACAGCCTATGCTATCATCCATCACAGACTGCAACGGGTAGACCAGATCACTAACTCTCTCTTGTCTAGAAAGGGAAAAAAGAGTGTAGCAAAAAAGCAGTTTTAACTTCTGCGAAACAAAACTTCAGATAATTACATAAAAAATAGGCTTTGGTAAAAGCAACACTCATAGCAATTTAATATACATGCTCACTAGAAGCAAGAACGTGAAGCAGAGAGAAAGGTTGAAAGTAATGAGTAATTGCCCAAAACAACAGTTATCACACAATTATGTATTTAGTGTTTGCAAATCTGTGCATATTATTCTCACAAGATTCGTTTTACTTGCTTCTGCAAAATTCCTGACCATTTGGCCAGTGAGCATGTATTAACTGGTCAATATGAACCATATTATGTGATGGGAGAGGGTTGGGAACATGAAACCGATGCAAATTGGATTTCAGATATAATCAAATTTGTGTTCAATGCAGATTCAACTATGTACATGTAGTGTCTAAAGACATTTTAAAATTATATTCTGCACGACTAACATTTCTGCCAGATATTTTATATTGACAGAGTTTTGATGGAATGAACAAAGTAACAAGACAGAGCACAAACCTCATCTGATGAAGCTCCTCACAGGTGACATCCACCTGGCAGAAATTTAAAACAAATAGTCAGAAATTTAAAACAAATAGTCAATTATAGAAGTTCTCATACAATACAAAGGTTCGGGCAAAAATAACGTTGTTGGTTAAATTTGCAATTACTTTATGCAGTATTACAGTTACACTGTAAATCTCTATTCTTGCTCATCAGCAGTATACAGGGCGAGTCAAAAAGAAAGTGACCTGGATTCAAGATTTCTGTCTTAAAAAACAACCAACTTTGATACACAAATTAAGTATGTCTTATAAGAGCATGTTCTTCCACTCATCTAAAAAAATAATTACTAAAATTGACCATGCAATCAGAATTTATGCATGTTTTACTAAAAGAACCTATTTTTTAATGCCATTGGAAGCTATTGAGCTGAGTGAGAATTACAGACTCCCCACAGACATTCAAACACAAATGAGATTTGAATCAGTTGAGTCAAGACTGAAACATTATTTTTAGTGTCAGATTTTTTGTTTTAAATATGAGGAACAATTCAACTCTTTTTTTCCGAAATATTGATGGCACTTTTTGTCTGTTTACCTTTGCAAGACATTGTTCATTCATGAAAAAAGGAAATGGGAAAGTGTCCATGTTTCATTGTATTTACAATAGGTATTCATCAGTTTGTAGAACGGTATATAATCAGCGGTGAACAGCTGAATTTTGTGATCTTTTTTATTAAAATAGCCACAAATTGGGAATAGAGTATGCAAATTATGTGGAATTATCACAGTTCCTAGTCTATAACATGTACTTTATCCCTATGTTATTTTTTGAAATGGAACGAGCCACACATTTTAATAAATATATTTTTTGTCTAATTTGGTCACATTCTGTTTGACTCACCCTGTACACCACTAACCAAAAGCAGCCAATGCATTACCATGTATGGAAACAGCAAATTAAAGTGTCGGTATTAGAAATCTATTTTGACTCTGGTAATTAGTTTCATATCAGCAAGCAGTGCTACGCTAATTACGCTTGTCCTTGACGCCTCAGTATTATGACAGTGTTGTGATGCGTCATTAATCATAATCATATCCCTGCACACCGGTACTTAAGTATAAGTTTCGTAATTCACTACCTTATGGAGACGTGTGTTCTATAGGGACCAAAAAATTGTAAAGGTCTCCACAAGGCAATTTCTATAGGTGAAAAGAAAATCCACAAGGTTTTCACGAAATAGATATATGGATTTTACTCAAAACTAGGAATTTCTAAGGTGTGTTTATCCATCGCAAATTAAAGTATTTTACGTAAGGGATATTAAGTCCGAATTTCAGCCCAGGAAATTAATTCTGGTTGAAATAGGAACATTTTGAAACTATTTTGAGTACAGGAGAACAAAGAAATGTCTCCACAAGGATACAAATTCCAGTATGACTAAGTACTGCAGTACCATTGAAGTTCAGTCAGGCAAGTCTAACAGTATACTGTTAGACTTGTCTGACTGAACTTCAATGGTTTCGTTTTCATGTGCTGAATATCAATCAGGCTCAGGTTGTCCTCGTTTCTAAGCAGCATAGTTGAAGTGTGTTATCATTTTTTTTTTGTCATGATTCACAAGACATATACTTGAAGACCGCATGGACAAAGCGATCTTTGAGCCAGCATATTTAATAATGACACTTTTTTTTATAGGAATAAATCATTCTTCTTTCAAATCCCAGAAGCAATTCTGAACATAAATTAATTTTCAAATGAAAGATTAAAAAAAACCACCAATTTCTCCGCTGAATAATGATGCTAATTTATCACAATATCACACCCTCATATGATTGGGGTCATTCTATGCCAACTGTCTTGGGGGTTGTCAGGTGGGGGACAAATTCAAAATTGTATGAAACCTTTTCTTCAAAAAACGTTATTGTGCATCACAAGAACACAAACACATTTTAGCTACTGACTCTAATTCTGCAAAGCAGCCCAAACTTTATCAAGTTCTTATCCACGATCCTCCATAATCTGCACAGTAGTACGGGCAAAATACTTAATTTTTTTAGTGAACCTCAAACAAATTGCAACATAATTTTTTTCACCACAGTGCATTTCTATAAGGTCCCTAAAATGACATACTAAAAGTCTTTAAAAATCCAGGTGGTGGAAATATGCCAAATTTGCATCAATCCAAAATGGCCGCATATTTTAGGACTTTCGCACTGATTTGGTCATATTTCATAAACTAGGTAGCTTTTTGAGGTATTTTAAACTACAATTTTAGTCCTTTTACATTGATTTACTCATTATTCTAGACCTTGGTAACTTTCAATATCCCTATGCTTCCCAAATTTGCAATATGCCGATAATAATTTGCATAAATGCCATTTATTAATTTGCATAGATTAAAGTTAAAATTATGGCTGTCGTGTGTGGACATGTCACAATTAAATTTTCCCTGATAATCCAAGTTCAGTCATGTACATGAATAAATTTCACACCACGGTGCATTGCTATAAGGTTCCTTAAAAAAGGAGAGATCCAAGTGGTGGAAATATGCCTAATTTGCATAAATTCCAAAGTAGCCACTAATTACATGATTTTTTATTTGGCCATAACTCTCGTCCTGCATTGCTTTTGGGGTACTTTGAACAACCATTTGTCCTTTGACATTGATTTCATCATCATTCCAGTCCTGGGTACCTTTTGAGATCCTATGTTTCCTATGGGGTATAATATTTTTGTTAGGTTTCTAGCTCTTGTCAAAGTTGGCTTAAGTGTTGGAAAATGTGATATCCCTGTGTCGCAGAGCAAACCCTTGCGCCGCTCTACTAAGACCAAAAATCAACTAGGTTAAATTCAAGGTCAAAGTAAAGGTCAAAATGTCATTATACTTCAAATGACCCCGACATGAAAAACAATGGTAAATTTGGATTTCTCATGATGTAACCTTTCAAAAGAAATCAAGATTAACAAATTTGGCTCACAGGTTATGGAGATATGGTCATTTGAAAACTGGCAGCCATACCCATTTTGACCAAAATTGCCCAACAGTGGAGGGCGGCAGCGCGAAAACCGTTTGTCATTTTGTTATGGAGATATGGTCATTTAAAAAATGGCAGCAATGTCCATTTTGACCAAAATTGCCTAGACGGTAGCGCGAAAACCGTTTGTCCGATGGCGCTAAAACTTAAAAAATTTCGGCTTTTTGCCCCATAAACTAAATATGAACCAATTTGAAGAGGTTGGGGTTTAAAATTTAAGAGTTTTGGGGGGTGATTTGACACTGAATGACCCCAATGTCAAATGACAAAATGTTGTTTAAAGTACACCAAAAAGCAACTTAGGACGAGAGTTATTACTAGATAGTATATTATGTCGTATTTTTGGCCATTGCATTTTTCTTTGCTTAAGAAGGAATTTTTCTCATATTTTGATCTACCTTCCTCAGCTGGAAATCCATTGGTAACATTTTTTTCCATCTACCATGTAGTGGCCATCTTGGAATTCAAAATGGCCACCATTTCGGGCCTAATTTGTATCTAACTTCGGACCAGATTGTCATATGAAGTTCATTTTTGTGGCAAACCCCATGTTTTTGATACCAAGGAACCCGAGAAATCATTGTTGATGGGGTATACTCCCAGTATACTCCTTTTTAAACAAACAAAAATGCAAAAGTACATAACGGCCTATACTATATGGCCAAATCATATGAAAATCATGTAATTAGCGGCCTTTTGAATTTATGCAAATTAGGCATTTTCCACCACTTGGATTAAATTTTTTTTTAGGGACCTTATAGCAATCACTGTGGTGTGAAATTTGACTTGGATTATCAGGGAAAATTCAATTGGTACATGTCCACACATGGCATCCGTCATTTTCACTTTACAGGCAAATTGATATATGGCATTTATGCAAATTATATGGCATTTGGAAAATTTCGGAAACATAGGGATCTTGAAATTTACCTAAATCAATGTAAAAGGACTAAAACTGTCGTTTAAAGTACCTCCAAAATCTATCTAGTATGAGAAATATGACCAAATCAATGCGAAAGTCCTAACATATGCGGCCATTTTGGATTTATGCAAATTAGGCATATTTCCACCACCTGGATTTTTTAAGACTTTAAGTATGTCATTTTAGGGACTTTATAGAAATGCACTGTGGTGAAAAAAATTCTGTTGCAATTTGTTTGAGGTCAAACCTTATTTTGCCTGTACTACAGGTAATGCTTGCAACATGCGCGCATTGTCAAACACAAATTAAGTGCGTAGAAATAGGATTGCGTAGCTTTAGGGGGTCTGACGATATATCAATGTATGAAAACCACCACCCTTAGATTATCAATTGGTTTAAATAACCATCACGTTTCATATAATGCTTGTGAAAAAAAATTCTTTTTATTCCCTTCAAAAAATTCAGTTGAGTACTGCACTTCTTACTTGGATATCTCATTTAGAGTGCCGTGTAATATCGATTACCATAAAAGACCAATATCCATTAAGCTCTACCCTCATGGTATTCAAACCAATCCAGCTGTAACTAATGTCCGACATGCACAAAAGTCTGACCATAGGCGTAGCAAGCAGGGGGGGGGGGGGTATTTACCCCCCCCCCCCAATATTTTGTAAAGACTGCCTTTTTCCATTCAAATGCTTTTTCAACGGGCTTAGCACCATATATTGGCCCTTTGTGTGTGCATAATAGTCGGTTTTGAACAGCGCCCCCATCGACAGATGGTACCAGCCAAGTGTCCGGAGAAAAAAACCTGTCTACATTTCACAACGGATGTGCATGTGCCCTTTTCAAAAAAATTGAACCCCCCAATAAAAATGACCGTGCTACGCCCCTGCTGACGTGTGCACGCGCAGTGTGGCATTTGAGAGGTGCCTTACGGTCGTTAATGGATCGGTCTATTTTCATTTCTGATTTGAATCTTGACCTCAACAAAGTTCCAGTGTCTCTCTGGGCTGAGTTTCCTGAGCTCCTCCAAGCCAGCCCGACCTGTCAGTCTGTCTGGGACATCATAGCTACATAGAGTTCAAGAAAGAAATCAAAAGAAACAAACATGTAAATGATTAGGTTACTAAAAGTGTAAGTAAGGCCACACAAATAATGATGGAAAGAATGTTGCAACCTGACGCTGCTTTTTTCTTCATATATCATCTCAATGAAGGTCAGTCATTGCAAAAAATTATGATAAGACATGAATCTGGGACTGAGAAACATTTCCCATTTTGTTAGGAAATACTTAGAAACTTGTCTTGACTCTCCATAGACTTGTACACAACCGCTGAAGTAGCGTCAGGTTGCAACGTTCTTTCCATAATGACTTATAGCAAAAAACAAACAAAAATGTGTGCAAGTGGCCGAAATCAAAATACCTTGATTTTTTTTTTCAACACTACAATGACACTCGGGCCTGGAAATTTGACCATGGGATAATTGAATTTCTTTTTTTCATTTACTTGAATAAAAATCCTGGATGCATTTAGAAGTGCTTTAAATAAAGCACAAAATGTTTCATTTTCTTTATTAAGCAATCAATCTAGTACTAGAAAATGTTTACTACTAGGGAAGGAAACATTTTCTGATCACAGACATTTTCCGAGTCTCCAAGTGGCTTTATACCATACTACTGTAATAAATGAAGAGCGCCCTCTGTTGACTTCAAAGGTTGGCCACACAGAAAAGAAATGTAATGATCCGAGTTTCAAGGAAGTTGCATTTTATACTTGTCCTTATCACCAATTATGTTGAAGAAATATACGTTTTGCATCTCAAAATGGCTGCCAATGCTTACTAGGCACTATAAGCAGCTAAAAGTCAATATTAAAGGTAACTAGAGTATATCATTTGCAGCTATCAAAAAAGCCATTAAAAAGCTTTAATACTTGGTTTAAAGAAAGTAATGTCGCTAAATCCCCTTTGAAATCATTCTTTCTGGCATGCTGTCATTTTGAAGAAAACAACAGAAGGTCATTTCCAATGATACGTCTAAAGATGCATGGATTGAACTTTCTGTTGGTAGTATTTTCTCCGGATACTTAGGCAACCAAAAATCGGGGGGGGGGGGGGGGGGGGGGGGGGGAAGGGTGCTGATAAAATCCTACAATCCTACTACTTATAGTGTAAAAATGCCCCCTTCTCAGGTTTCGACTATTTATTTAGGGGGAGACAGTTCGCATGTGACGTCACCTTCTAACATTTTGCTACTCCCATTTTTTTTTAAATTATATTTTTTTGGTGGGGGGGGGGGGCCTAGACCCCAAAATAATTGGGGGCCCCAAAAACCCCTGCCACCCCCCCCCCCTTCCACGGTAGAACCCCGCCTGGTGACATCGCATGGCTGCAATCGGCTAAATGAGAACGTGTCCCGGACGCTGATTTCGGGCACAATTCAAAACATGACTTAGCAACTTTTGAAATTGAATTGAAATAGATATCCTAGAATATTGTTTTTATACCATTTACTGAGCTATAACTTCTTCAGGTTAGTTGTTAAGCACCCTTCTTTAGATATTCAGCACTTTTGTTGCTTCAAATGAAAAAATGGACAAATGACAAATGATATACTCTACCTTTAAAGTTCACTGTCACAATTCAAATAGCAATTAAATCATCCTCTTAGAACGACAATTTCATTCTTTAATCCATGCAAAAGTAAATCTTTACCCAAATAAAGTCAACTGACCATTTTTGCTGCTTCAAACATTGGTGACAGCTGTCACTGTAATGGTCAGTAAGTCAGTCAGCAGCTTCAACTGTACCATCACTTAATTTGACACGATTACTCAATCATCTCTTGAGAAACAAACAATGCTTGACAGCACAAGTCACAACACTGCAAGAATACAAGGCTACAGGAAAGGTGGCAGTAAGCAGGGTGTCCTACAACCCAAGGTAAGTGGAAGTGTTTGGAATAACAACACCTTGTCTTGAGGCAAACATACCAGAGTTCTTCTTTCTAATCTCATGAGAAATGGGCCAAATAGGCAGATAGCGAGATACATGTACAGTACAATGTAGGCAGAGACTTGGGGGGGGGGGGGGGCAGTAGGCTCTAATGAGGGAGGCAGTAGGCATCACAATCAGTTACTTGAGAGTTGAGAGAACATCAACTAAACGGCATGCTGGCAATTCGACCAAAAAAACCCAGCAAGTCCTGAACCAAACTACACATTCAATAACTTGACAAAAAGGTGAACAAACTTACTTTTGACTCTTTACTATGTCAACAGATGTTCAGTTTTCTCCATGGATTTGATGCATAGGTATTTTTGTAGACCTTTAAAATTGCAAGTGATATTAATTGATTGTGACTTCACCCGACCTTGACAGAATTGAGGCGGACTTATCAACGCCCAGATTGCCTTGTGATAACACCTGGAATGGTTTTGATTTTCTTCAGTGAGTCATGAAAAGCCAATGCAATATCTATATACTATGCAGTGGTGATTGGTGAATGCTTCAAATCTCAAGCGGTAGTAAAGACTGGGGAAAGGGAAGGCCCCTAAACAGCTTATATTCCATGATCAATCATCCTAGCAAGGAGTGGACTAAATCTATTTTCATGTTCTAATCCTTTGTTATCAGTTGACTTTTCAGCTTTAGATACACTATAACCAATATCACTGTAAGCATGGTTATGCAACCAACTTTCAACCAATCTGATGAATGGCTATTTCAAGCATCCTGGCTAAAACGAACACCGACATGCAAAAGTTGTGCATGCAGGTTCAACCATAGAACTTAGAAGAAAAAATACATACATGGTTGTCTGCGGTTTAACTCATTCTTCTGGATATTCAGTTATATAGCTGTTTTTCAAGGTGCATGGTTTTGCAATAATGGCATGCAATGCCTAGTCACAGTCTGGGGTACATTGTGAGATGTGAACTCTTTATATTTGGAATCACAACAAGGTTGATGAATCAGACATGAGCTGTGGGAGGGGGAAGGAGACACTGTAAAACGTTCATTTCTAGCACCCTGGATGTCAAACACCTTGCTCTGTCCCTGGGAAATGCATAACACCAGAGTATCAGCTGGACACCTGTCAACACTGATTAGGGGGGATTTGATTGGCAGGCCATGGGTAGGGGACAAGCTTTAAAGGGACATTCTAGCTACTGGGGTATTTGATAACAACAGGCAGGTAGACAGTAAGGACTGTAAGGGACGGTACCTCAAATTCAAGTTTGTAGTAAGAACTGAAGTCAATATCTTAGACTTGAATTGTGGAAACTTGTAATTATGAACAGGACCAATCTAGTTGTGACAGTGTGCCCAGAGTGGAAAGATCAACATGACTGAAATGTTACATTGTTAAAATTGACAAATTAACATGTAAACTAAACAATTTCCAACAACTTCATTCACTGATGCTTTTTTTGAAAGTTTGAACTGAAACAAAACATTAAATTCGAAATTTCTTTTTTTTCATTAAGATCTATCAGATCTGTAGGTTTCGAACATTTTGTGTATGACATGACTACCATATGAGCTAGAAAAAAAAAGAAATTTCAAATGAAAATCTGAGGGTCAAATGACATCAACATTTGGTGGATAATAAGAGGCTTCAGTCCCATCCCTGAGGGTTTCTCAGGGTTACTCAGTGGGTATTAGTGGACCCACAGGGTGTCATCAGTATCCAATGGAGCTCAATTGTCATTGCTTAACTTGCATCTACAATACTTTAGGGTCATCAGGTGTCTGTGGTCCTTGCCCTTCACATCCACATGGGGTTGAATAAAAACAAGTCAACGCTAGCCCAGGTGCACATGTAGTGTACTCTCAGTGAAAGCTGTAAGCACTGTAGCTCAGTTGTAATGGAGACAATTTCCTGGGGGATGGGTTTGTCCAGGGTTGAAGGCCCAGAAGTGTTAAAACATTTTAGATATGAAAAGCAACTGTGTATATGTGCTGTACATTGCATGGACTTGTGAACAAAGCAGGTTCACAGGGTGCAGGAAGCGTGAACGTGTATTCCCCACGTCCACACAAGGTTTCCCCCTCTCTGGAAAACAGGTTTAAAGGCATTTTTGGGTTAGGGGTATCCCTTGCAAAATGAAGAGGAACACTCAAAAAAATTATGATGAAAAATTAAATTAAACTTAAGTTGAAAAAAGTGTTCACAAGTGCTAGTAAAATGATTTTTTATCTGATTTTTCTTAACTACACGAATACAAAGGAATGTCCACAGAAGGTCATGGAAAGTAAGTACATGGTTGTGTGTGTGTGATGGGGGGGGGGGAGGTGTCTGAATACCATATGAAACACCCCCCCCCCCTTACTATGCCACAGAGATTCCCCAGTGGGATATAATGGGAAAGTTTTGTGCAAAATTTGAAGAGAAAATGTACACATGAAGCTTATCGACAGCATGCTCTGTTAAAAACCATTATAAGAAATATTTGAATAAACATTCTATGTAATCTTTTATTTCACACCTCTTGATATACGAATAATTGTTTTTTAATCCTGATTACACCATTGGCTGGCATGTGGGAGTGATGATAAGCTTGCATAATTGTTAGCGTCTGCATGTACTGCAGCTTTCAAACAAGGTCAGCTGATACACTTGTAAAACGCCGGAGCGAAAATTATGCCAACTATGCGAGATTTAACATGGTGAGCATTGGTTGATCCAGGACGAAGTTTTCAAATCCTGCTGGATTTTGAACAAACAAGCCTGAACCAGTTGGAATAAGACACTGAGCTTTGATCCACATACATGAACAGCCACGGGGATGTGATCACAATAGCCTGTTCAGATGGGATTTAACTGACATCTGAAAGTAAAATCAAGCACCAGGGAGAGGACTCTGTTCCCACAGGTCCAAAATGGTAACAATGGCAAAATGGCAGTATTTTACAAAGCTTACACACACCTCTATACACACACACAGCACTGAAATTGATTGAGGCAAGGAACTTGGTCACAGCTAATTCTACCTCCATGGTCACGGTGTCCAAAAATATTGTTGTGATCAATTGACCACTGTGCAGTGATGTGTTACTGAAATTGAATGAAACTCATAGGGGTTGAGGCCAAGGATAAGGAGTATCTGCACATTCAAAATTTGTCAAAATTGATTTCATGGTTCTATAGTTACTTCAAAAATAGTCGGGCGGACACTTTTTTGGGATTACTGTATACATGTAGATATATTTTTAAATCACAAGGATAGGCAAGTATTCATTCCTTTGATCTGATTTGACATGTTTTTTTTTACCCTGTTCTTTAAAATGTAAAAATGGGTTAGCCGAGATTCCATCAAAACACAAGATACCGTTAAGAAAATATCAAGTATATCAGGCTTAGAATTAATATTCCTTATGGAAAAAAACACTTCAATGGAGACCAATCCTCGTTTGGACACACCATGGAGCAAGGATAGGAAGTCAGCCAGAACTTTTAACTGTATATCACATGATTACCAAAAAGAATATTGTGTGTACTTAAAAAGCAGGAACAAATTCTTGCGTGTTGCATCTAGACAAAAAAATACAAGTGCTGCAAATCCCCCATGTAGGTCAATAAGTCAAGAGCCAGGACTTATTGACACATTACAGTCACTCATCATCAATCTTTCTAATGCCCATATAAACACAGACATAAGAAACAATGGATGTCAGAAATGTCCTAACATTCTTTCAGCTTCCCCTCTTCTAAACAATTCCACATTCTTTCGTTTGCAAGAAGTGCTGATGATGAAAGCCACTCCATTGTCTCAGACTGCCAAGATTCTCTCTCTCCTTATTTTGTCTAGATTTTGTTTGGATTACTTGTTGATTTGAATCTCCTAATAGGTTTTCAATCAATCGTTACTTACAGAAATGTTTGGGAGCAAATTGACAAACTGGCCACCTGGAAAACATCAGGTGAAACTTTTTAACAACAAAAACCAAGTGATGATGCATTCCAGAAGCCTTCCCGAGTGAAACTTGTTGAGTCATATAAACAAGACATTGGCATGTCATTCAAAAAGGTGACAAAATTACACATAGTTAGAATGAGAGGCCTTTACATTTTCAAAAGTATATTCCAGAGTTTAAAGGGAATATACAACATTTGCTTTTGCTGTAATTTTCAGAAATGAATGGATTTGCCGTGTTAGTATTTTATAGCAAATATTGTTACACTCACTTGTTGAAGTTTTGTGTTCGTAGATGCTGGAAAAACCAAGAAAAACAATCATGTTTTTTTAGTCTGGTTCCCTGACCCAACTTAAATTGAAATTTCAGGACGTCTGGGAATTGTAAGGTCAGGGAACCAGTCGAGAAGGCTTGCACACATTCATAGATGTGTAATCGATTGCAAACAAATTTCAGACTAACTGAATATGATAAATTGGGGCAACATTTTTAAAAAGCCAGTGGTTTGGAAATTGATACAAAAATATTACTTTTCTTGAAAATGTCAGCACACCAGGTGCCATTATCTTATAGGATGCTTTAGATTGCCATTCACTAACAGTCCAGTAAGGTATTTTGTGATAATTTGGTAGTTTTGTTTTTTGATATTTGCCAATGTTGTATATTCCCTTTAATACAGACACTTTTTTAAAACACTTGTCTCTGTGGTGACAAATACACGCACTGTTCCCTTAAAGGTTGCAAAGAGAGATTTAGGCAAGAGAGATTTAGGCGGGACTACTGAATGCATTGCAGCTGCATACCCGGTGAGCAGTGCTCATGAAGAACTAAAGTACATGTACCTGTATTCGCACCATATATTCACAAACCAGTGCACCAATGTCCGGCACACAGAACATCACCAGTCATGAAGCACCATCCACTCTCCATGCACGGTGTCTTTTCTGTCTCAACCTGCTCCAGTGGGTTTGTTTTCCACATTAGTTTCAAGCTTCAATCACAAACAAGTAATGCCACAGCGATATGTTGATATCCACTGAATTATGCAAACACAAGATTCTCTCACCTTGTAACATTCTGGATTGACAAAACAACCAACAAAGCATTTGTAATGTTTGTACCAGACCAGACCAGAAAGAATCAAACTAAAAGCAACTTTAACCCACCCCTTTAATACTGAAACTCAGTAACCGACCAAATGGCAAATAAACCTCATACATGTAAGTGACATTAGTCAGTCCCAAGGCTCAACCCCCACTTCCATCTGGGCTGTATGTAACCTCCTCGCTTCAAGCACATGCACCACATAGCCTTAAAACATTCACCACATTAATGCCACAATGTCTCAGCAAATATGACAGACACCATGTGTAACACCAGTGGCATCCAGTTGCGATTGTTGGAATATTTCACCTGGGAACCAGCTGACAGTATCATCAGTAAAAACCTGTCGAAATGTTAGATCCCACGCATACATTCTTTGCATAGCATGATTTCCAAAAGTGCATGATTTTATAAAAATGTGAGGGGGTGGATGGCTTTCCAAGGAAATGGGGTGTGATATAATGTCATATTTGGATGTACAAGGAGTGGTCCTTTCACATTACACGCATTTGTGATGTGAGTGAACACATATTTGAAATTGATGGAACGCTACTTTCCTGAAAACTTTAAAACAGACAAAATGAATTCAGAGACATTGAATAAGCCTTGTGAAGAAGTTTGAAGAAGTATCTGCCTTGATAGTTATCGAACAAAACTTATGACTCATAAAAAAGTTGACCTGCTTTCCTGCAGTTTGTACATGTACCGGTATACAGGCTTCACTTAAATTAAACGAAACAAGTATTTGGTTATGAATTCAAGTTGCAGATCTGCCAAATTTCCTTCATTCAAATAAACATCTGAAGTCTTTTCAAAGTCTTTACAAGAGGTAATTTGTAATCTAAGATCAATGTCTAAATTCAACATATAGACCATTTTGCGAGTGTCTGTTCAAGACGATTAAGAGCTATTAACTTTCAAAGACAAAGACCCCAAAAGTTAACATCAAGGAATGATTGCTTGAAGACTATCCATTCTTGATGTCAATTCCTCTTCACATTTCACTCCACTCTTGTGTAATAATAAAAGAGCGCCGCCTTCATGAATCTTAAATTTTATGGGCACTTCAACTTTTCAATACCCTTCTCTCCCAAGTTGCATTCGGCAATATTTCATTTGGAGACACTGTCCAGGAAGGATTAGGAAGTGAACCTTCAATTGTGCAATTATTCACTGTCCCTTGCACAGTTTGCTTATGTCAAGCACTGACCCTCTCACTAGCTACCGGTAGTTCCCTGTGATTTGAAAACTTAGCGGCAAAAATAATGAAAGAACTGTCTTCTTTTCTTTTTTTAAATATGCCTCCTCAACACCAAGAAAGTATGCTTAAAGGGTTCATGAAATAACTTTTTCTTTGGAACACATTTTATGCAACTTTCTGCTACTCTTTAATGTATGAAAACTATTTGACATCCCTATTTGGTTAATTTTATTAAAAAGTGCTTTTCTTTAAACATTTAAAAATTGTCCATGCTTTTCCGGACAACTGAGGGTGCTGTTGCTGTGATGTCATTCCAGGAAGACACTGTTCAGTTTAGGGTTTTTTGTTCTAATTGTGAACCCAAAAATTTGCTCATTAAAAACATCTGTGAGAAAAGTTTGCTCACTGGCTTACTGCCATGTACTGACACAACACCACATCACCAATGAACAGAACATTTAAGATAGTAAAATATCCAAAATTATGGGAACTTTTTGTGCTGAAATAACTGTAACATTGAGGTTCTGCCTGAAATGGCATCACACTTTTGCTCATGAAAATGGAAATTTGCATGGGCATAACACCATAAAGGCACCAAAATACTTTTGAAAATGGCAAAACAAAAATTGAAAATAAGGTTAAATTGGATACAAAGGTGCCTTTTCAAGGATTGCATTAAAAACAAAATCATATTGCAAGAGCCCTTTAAGTCCCACATGTATGCGAGGCATCTATTAGACTTGTGCTAGTCCAACCTTTGTTTTTGATGTTTGCTGTCTGTTGTAGCTTTGCCAGATGTTTTTGGTGGACGCTGGAAAGCGACATTGATTAAGTCAATAGATTCCTCTTGAGGTACACATCTGAAGACAGAGAAGGAACAGCATTAATGTTGCACAAGACAGATATTTTTCTTCGGGTTATTTCTGTTGGTGTACAGATGGAAATCGAAATCCAATTTTTTTTTTTTAAATCAATCTCACGTGCAGTGGCGTAGCCAGGAATTTTTCAGTGGGGGGGGGGGGTGCTGGGGGGGCTGTAACATTTCATGGGGGGGCGTCATGTAGATCAATGATAATTTTTTTAAAAACTCAAAATCTCAGTGGGGGGGGGGGGGGGGGAACAAGGTTTCATGGGGGGGCTGTCGCCCCCCCACGGCTACACCACTGCTCATGTGAATCTACACACTGCAGCCATGTATCAACAAGTTGATTGTTTGAATTTCTTGTTGTAAATTGGCAGTAAAATACTATGGGATAGGGTCTCTAAAATAGTTGTAAATTCCATTGATATTATGCATTATGCATGAATTACAGCACCTGCTTCCCCTCAATCGTACTCTGCATACTGCACTGTTCTTAGCTGCCATAGTGTAATATTGAGTAGGTGAAACCTTTTGTACCAGTACCAAGATACTGTTCACACTATACAAGGAAAAGTTTAATATTAGATTAGTCTCAACAACCCATTATTTTGTACAAAAACTCGTATTCCTTTTCAAAGAATTGAAACTAAATTTAATAGATGAATTGCTAACAATAGACTGTCTTTCTGCACTGCATGCCCAGGGAATTTTTTATACAAAAATACAAGAAAACGAGGGTCTATTTCAAGCCCAATGTGAGAATTGCAAAACTACTCAAAATGACAAAGCCTGCACTGGGGATTGCTCTATAGAAGACAGCTTTATTAGGAAATTGTTGAACTTAAAGTAAAAGCTTAAAATCTTCCTGCTTGTGCTCAGAATCCCAAGCCATCTTTGTTCAAAGTGGATCAAAAACTTAACTACATCGTACCTTTCAGCAAAGGTTGCTATCACCATGGAGTCGATTCCTCCAGAGAACAAAATGGCTACCCTGGTGCTGAACTCACTATGGGAATTCTCTTCATGCTGATTGCAATCGAGTCTCACATTAGTAACTGAGTCATGGTCATGTTTTGTTGTCATGGCAACGGGGTGCCTACTAAAGTGGCTGTTGGGATCGCTGCCGAGAGTGGATTGTAGGGATTGCGGATTTTGGAGGTTGTCCTTTTTCAGATCTTGAAAGACTGCATCTTTAGGATGCTCAGAGGATGGATGCTCAGTGGATTTATTGTTTGGACGAGGAAGATTAAAGACCCTCCTGTTCACAGCCGCCTGCAGGATTTCAATCAACCCTTTGACAGCTCTAATCATCTCGCACTCAAACACAGTCACTGATGCTGAATAATCTCTCGTCTCATCTCTAGGCTCCCTTCCAAGACATAATTCCTTTCTTGGCAAGGCATCTTCATCTGTGATCATAACTTTGTTGGCACAGTTTGCAGATGCTGAGGGATTTGCCATGGTTGAAGGGGAACGTTCCTGATCTAGATTTCTGGATGACGGGTCTGCGGTTAGACCACTGACTCTGTGGCATGAACTAATCCCCAATTGGTTAACTGACTCGTCAGATTTTCTGACCAAGTCATGCTCCGTTCTAAGAGGTAACGATTCTGGCTTGCTCTCCACAGGCAAACTACTTTGGCTTGCATTAAATATTCTCATTTCTTCAAAATGGTGTATTTCATCCATCTTAGATGGCATCGTGACAGATGCACTTCCCTTTAGAAGAGTCTCCCATGTACCATTTTCAAGAAGTTGTAGTTTTCTTTGCTCTGCCCATAAGGAAAGCACAATTTCCTGGGTCTTACTTGGTAGTGACCAATTCATTGGAGTAATTGGACTCCTAATACATGCTGTCATAGTGATGATGCTGACATCAGGATTCAAACCAGGACCTATCACTTTGCAAGAATGTGGCTCCTCTTGTGGCTCTCCTTGTAGCTCTCCACTGGAGATAGCTTCTTCAAGTTGGTTGGAAGTGCAAGGACTCCAAGTATTCTCCACTGTAGAAACCACATCCTGTTTCCATGGAAATAGCATCAGCTGAACAGACAGGGCTCTGCTTTTAGACCACTGCTCAATATCTAGACAGTAGATTCCATCTGCAGGTACCTCTGACCACCTCTGGTATCGTGTAGAAAAACAAAAGGAACATGCAATTGGTTATCTCCATCTCAATTGTTTAACAGACGGGGTGAGGGTGTTTATTCTAGAATATTTAGTAAGATGGTTCAGAAATGTTCCTAAATTTCTTACAACAAACATGTTTAATGTTGCATTGACAGAAGTCAATGTAATATGCTCGCTCATCCAAGTCAGCATGCATTCATTTCATTCCAAGCAACGTGCATGATCATTCCTCTATCTCATCAGGATTGATTGTGCTTATGAATCTTCTCTGCCTTTCATGGTAATAAATGTTACGGAAATTGAAAGTGAAAATCTGTTTGCCCCCTATAGGCCTTTTCCCACTACAACACCCATCCCCAGGGCCAACTCGCCTCGGGGCCGCCCCGGGGACACCACGGGGTGACTTCTGAATTTTCACCCTCGAGTTCAACCCTGCACCGTTTCAGACTCATTTCGCGCAAACCGTGTTTATCTCGCCCCGGGCGAGTTCGCCCCGGGGATTTGCACGACCGTTTCTCACTCAAGTTTTCAAACTCGGGGCGGCCTGTAAGGCAACGTACTTCTGAGAAATTCTGGGCTTTTCAGTGCAGAATTGATTAAAAAACATCAAATATGCGAAAAAACTTGCCTCATTTAATCCACGGAGTCGATAACTTTCCAATTAGGATTAGCAACAACAGTAAGGACCATAAACAAAACAGTTTTATATACATGTATCAAATAACTGTCAAATGTGGTCAATATGGGATACTTATTACTGAATTAGTGTGCAACAAGTAATTTGTGTACAAATCTGCTCAGCAATGTCTTCTGTTCAACCAAATCTGCTCAATAAATTTGATGGCTGATCCTAAATTTTCACAACCTCCATCGACCATAGATGTCCCTAAGTGCTGTACAATATTTCATTATTAAAGGGAAAATACAACATTTGCAAACATCAAAAAATAAAACTACCAAATCATTTTGAAATACCTTGCTGGACTGTTAGTGAATGACAGTGTAAAGCATCCTGTAAAATCATGGCACCTGGTATACTGTCATTTTCAAGAAAAGTGGTATTTTTGTATCAATTTCCAACGCTGGTCGGCCGACCAGCGTTGGAAAAAACTGGCTTTTTTCCAAATACTGGCCCCAATTGACCATCGCCATTGTTTGCAATCGATTACACACCTATGAACGGGTACAAGCCAGCTAGACTGGTTCCGTGACCTTACAATTCCCCAATGTATGTAAACTGCTCTGTTTCTTCTTATATGGAGTCAGGGAACCAGACTACAGGAAAATGATTGTTTTTCTTGGTTTTTATAGCATTTTCAAACCCAAAACCTCAAAAAAGTCAGTGTAACTATATTTGCTATATATTTCCAACCCCCCAATTCCATCCATTTCTGAAAATTACAGCAAAAGCAAATGATGTATATTCCCTTTAACTCTAGCCTCCCCATTTCTTTCAAATTAAAATAAATATCAGGTCAACTTAATATGCAAGGTTTTTGGTGTATTTGACAGTTAGAAGTCTTATAGAATCAATACAATAAATCATCCGTCAGGTGCCTCAGCCACTTTGAAGAAGTGATCAATCATGATAAGCAAGTTAGATGGGGAATGGCCTAGAGGGAGAGAGAACAGTGATATGAAGCAGGAATGACACATTGCCCACAATCAGCTGGTGATATCCGGCACTTATCAAAGTGATTGCCCATCACAGGACAGGGTCAAGTTCACTGGAAGGGGAAAGGTAAAAAGTGCAGCACCTTGAGTGGGTATTCAATCACTTCAAAGGAGTCCCTAATCTTGGAATTTAAGGAATTCAAGGTACTTTACTGCATGGAATTTGAGACAGTAGATTATAGATTTTCTGTAGGCCTACTGTGAATCACACATATTGATCAGCTTGAAAATTGAGCAAATGATGAAAGGACGGCATGTGTGGAGTTGGAGGTACAAACCAATACAAGGCCATATTCTAGCCAATTCAAATCATGCCATGAAACCAGAATTGTAGTTAGCCCAATCACAATTAGGTAAATCATAAATCAATCATGAGTAAAAATCACCAGTCAGGTTAGAAAAAAAGCAAACAGAGGATAAAACGACAAAGAAAGGATGACTACGGATGACTTTGTAATTGCCTGGTTATGGACTTGTGATTGACCTGTGATTGATGTGCGATAGACTTGTGATTTATTTGTGATTGACTTGTGATTGACTTATGATTGATTTGTGATTGACTTGTGATTGATTTGTGATTGACTCGTGATTGACTTGTGATTGACTTATGATTGATTTGTGATTGACTTGTGATTGATTTGTGATTGACTTGTGATTGACTTGTGATTGATTTGTGATTGACTTGTGAAGATTTGACTGAAATTCAGTATTGAAACAGGAGACCAATCGCACATGTCGGGCTTCATGTCTGCTGCTACAGCTGTCATTGGACTATGTTGTACCAGTCACATGTACAAAGTCATAAAATGACTACTTGAAACAACAGTGGCCAAATTAAGCACTGGACTTTCATTAAAAAAGATGAGAAGACCAATTTGAAAATCTTTTTTCGTGTAACTCAAATATAAGACAGTAAAGTTTAAGACAGTGATAACATAGTATAAAATTCAACATAATTTCAATATACGGTAATTCAGATTTTTATAGCAGAACAAAATTGGTTCTCCATGATAATTAATGGAGAATTCAAAGTACTACATGTATGTGTCCAAAAGCAAGAGAGAAAGCTTTTCTCATCACCACACTTTATCCAGCTAGATCATCAACTTCAAGTACATACTACAGATTCCATTGAAGCTCTACTAACACATCCGTCTCTTTGAGAAGGCCAATTGCACTGTTTATTGAAGCTTATCAAAGGGTTTAGGCTTGGTTTTTGAGGAGCAAATTTTGAACCTTATAACCTTAGCATTCCCACATGAGCTCCTAAGAGCTATAGGAGATCTCGCAGAAATGATCTGTCTGATTATCTTTTTGGAGATTTCTTACTTTTGATCCTACACTTGTTGAAAGGTTTGTTTTCCAAAATCCAGTGCATAGCTCAGACAGTGAAATGCCTGAACAGTTTAGAAAAGCATTTTGGTATTTAGTGATGGTGCTTACAATTACAACTTGGAAGGATCAAGTGCTTTAACGGATAAGATTGCTCGGATTTCCGGCTGCTTTCGTGCGATGGTTTCGAGGACGTCAATTATTTACACAAGAATTCTTGGCGACGCTCAAGTGATGTGATGAAAAAGGCCCACTTAGTCTGGATTCTTGGCCTATATTGCAGGACTGTGTGACCCCCATGCCACTTCCAGAAAATCTGTCGCCGCAGCTGGATGTAGAATAATGGAACAACCACCCCCCCCCCCCATTTACAGAAACGGTTGTCCTGACAAGAGCTTAACTGAAGTATGACAGAGAAGCCTAGCAAAGCATTTGATAATGTGTATTTTTTTATGCGTACACTCTTTTACAGTCAGAGAGAAAGGCAAATTGGGAAGATTCAGATTTTGAACATTTCAATCATAAGAAAAGATAATCAAGTTTGATAAATGCATGTACATGAATCTTGTATAGAATTGTTTGAGTGCTTTATCAGTGTATATGGGGCTAGTTCCACAAGCAAAAAAGTGTTTGGAAAAAGCAAAGCTTAAAGTGTTCAGAAATAAGTAGAGATTGAACCGCACATCACCTAACCAATTCAAAATCTCTTCTTACATCTAACCCAACCTCCACTGTAATTGGATGAAACAAATTTTCCTCCAGTTGTTTTGTACATGTTTGTCATTTTATCAATCCATGAGCAAACTGAGGCAGACGTTTTGCCACCAACATTTGCCAACTATCACCCCCTTTTTTTAAGTTAAACCCTCAATTTCAAGATTTGACCTCACTCCAAGGTCCGTGCAAAGTGAAAAAGTCAAAGTAAAGAGTGTTTACTGCTCTACATGCAATCAAAATTTAAAGCAAAAAAAATCATAAACAAATTTTATTGCCCAAGATGTGTGTTGAGTGTCAACCAGCAATTTTGCCTTCAATTTATGACCACTTCCTATCCGTTGGGAACCTTTAAAGTGACACTAATTTTGAGTTATTGCAGCAATAAAGAGCAGAATCGGCAAAAAGAACAGGAGTCAAAAATGTTAGGGCATTCAGGGCTCCAGGCAGGGGGTGTAACTTGGTCCTTCCTTTGGGAAGACCCCTGTAACATTAATGACAGCAAGTAATGGCCAAATAGCAAGACCAAGCTCACACCATCTTGTTAGTGTTTGTCTGTCAAACTTAGTTATAGTCCTAGTACCAGGTGATGGGTTGATTTTTTTTCTTAGGTGACCAGAACTATTATTATTTGTTTAAGACATCTTTCTTAGAGAGACGACATTATTTTGGCCTTCAATAATCGAATCAGTCATCCTTGACCAGGACATTATCTTGAAAGATTCGTCTTGAATATTATGATAATTGACTCAAATATGTAACTAAACTGGATTAAATATTGTTTGGCTTTTGAACAGATATCTACATATATATTTTGGATGAGCATCATATATTCGAAGCCAATATATCAATTTATTTTAGGATTTAATTATAAATAAAGGGATTTCACTTTTTTTCCCCCAAAAAGGGTAATTTATTTGACAATTTTGATTATCATGCAAAGCATATGATCAATGCTATTCAAAGAATTTGTAAAAATAAAGATAAGTTCCATTAAATTCATCCTTTGTGTTCCGACAGAGAAAACAAAATTCCTGAACAAGAGTGCTGAGGGATTATTTGTTGCTTTCAAGGCCCCAAGAGTATGTTAGGCTCCCACCAAGGCATTGTCAATAGCCTAGAATTTCTGACATTAAATGGCTTGGGATTTGTGTTTGTTCAGGGAAACAATCCGGTATTTGTATTGTAAGCCATCTTTGTGTGCTGTCAAGTTACTCAGCACATACCAATTAATGTTGGAGCAAAACTGTTACATGATAGCAAATCAGTCCAAGAAAGGTATACGAAACGTTACATTATTTTCAGGAGTTATCTTTAAGTGTTAATAAATGAATGGGGAAAACTGCTGATAGGGGACAAAAGAGTTTTCAATTTCTTCGAAAAGCAACTTCAATTCCAAATATGAAATGAATTGCCAAATGTCCATGTAGCCCTGGTTAAAACCAAGACATTTTGCAGACAACTTTGACACTTACCCTAAAAAATGAAAGATTTAAATGCAAGTTGCAATACATTTTTAAAGCATTTCTTTGCAGGCTTAAACAACTCAAACTGGGCAAAACACAAAAAGGCTTACCATTTCATCCCCACAATTGTACCTGTGATAACGATACACCCCATTATTGATATTGACCAGTATGACACTCAGCAAGACCAGATGTATATGGCTTACATGATTGATAAGTCCCATTTGTGACATCAGTGCCTTTGTTTTGGCAGCAGAAAGCACTAAGTAGCTATTATATTTTATTGACAGGCTGGACCAAGGTATTGTTTTCAGGAATGCAAATGACTGATTTAAGGTTTGTTTTTTATCCCTCCCAGTAGGACACAGTAAAATGTTACCATCTGCAAAGGCTGGCTGTCAAGATATTTGTACTGAAATGGCTGGGGAATAAAAGGCAGAAGTTAAATCACATCATGGTTTCGGTGACAATAGGGCGAGGAGGACAAAAAAATAATTTAAATTTGAAACTTTTGTGTAATGTAACCTTTGGATATACTGTAAAAACACTAATATGCTAAGTATATTTATTCATCACAATTCAAAAGTAACAGCGATATCAATAAACCCCTCTTGAGATACGTGTATTCACCTTCAACCTACATTTTGGACATCATACATTAATATTTTCCACCTGTTAACAAGCCCACACTGGGAATCAGCTACATAATGTGGGGAATGTTGCAACAGACACGTCTTACCCAAACACCAAGGGATTTGTTCAACGTTCCCACATATTGCTCAGCTGTCAAGAAGCCAATCCCAGGGGTTCATTGCTCAAGTTAAAGGCAAGCACAGACCAGGGAAAGACCGCGGATTTAAACACATTAAGAGAGAGAAATCTCATTCTGAAGTATAACAGGACTGTCATTTTGTTCTGATCAAGGTAGGTCCCCCACTTTTTTAGAAGCGATTGACGCCCTTGATTTAGCAGCACTGTGGGACCATCGTTTGTGTGTGTGTGTGTGTGTGAGTTTGTTTCTGCATTCAATAGGCAGATAGGGGACGTTGAACAATAGAGGACAATAGGGTCCCCAATTCTCGAGAGGTCCCCAATTTTGGATTCGTGTACAAAACATATTGGAGGTCTTCCATATTGGGGTCCCCGATTGCAGGCAAATGCACACTTGGGTGTTTGGGGGGGGGGGGGGGTTGATAAAGAGATATCAGTTAGTATATCAGGGAGGGAATGAGGAATAACATGGACATATACAAAAACAACAATTGGGGAGGGGAAGGGAGGAACAGGGGCAAGTCCCCTCAATTTTATTTATTTATTTATTGTATCTAACAAAAAGGCAAACATTGGAGGGATGCCAATGGCGATGTCCCCCAATTATCTAGCCCAGATTTCAACCAAATGTAATGCTAGTATAAAATAGTCATGCAATACCTGAAAGGTAGAATTGCATGAAACATGGTCCAATCTTAAGTAACTTCTGTGTAAACAATTGGGAAAATTTGTCAAAGATTTGAACTGTTTTTGTTTCAACATGTAAACATCACAGCCTTAACTCAAAGAACAACCAAGAAGCTATGACAGCCACCATTAATGTGACTGCACTATTGGCAGGAATTTTGTGGTTTCTTGGGTTTGTTGATTTTAAGTTGTTTTTTGGCCAGTTTTGGTTCTTGGGTACGACGGCGGTGAAAAGCTGGGACGGAAATAACAAGGAGAGTGGAAATGCAATGAAAACATTCATTTGTCGGCAGGACTTCCATCAAGTGAGATTAGAAGTGGTCCTCTTTAAAACACAATAACAGGTTCAACCACTCATCAATATTTCTCTTGGCTTGGTGTCAAAGATGGGAGGGGGGAGAGTCAACGCAAGAAAATGTCCCTGCTGAGAAATCACCGACTGGTCCTACATGTACATGATGAAATGTCAAAGCTTTGGCACACACATTAGGGCATTTTTAGGTAAACAGGCAGGCATTGCGGTTTGCCAGTTGTTTACATGCCTGGTGGATTTGTTCAGCTGTTTCAAGCCACAGTCAATAATTCTAACAAAGATTTCCAACATTCCAATTTGCAGACTTGAAAATGTCCAGTCACTCAAGTGATTAAAAACATATCCCCCCCCCCCAAAAAATAAAATCAAGGCACTTGTCTCAAAGTGTTTACAAATTATTACCCCTGTTCATCAGGCCATGAAATCAGTTTTATACAGCAGTGTGATTGCAATTTGCCCAGTGTACATGCACTCCTAGCGAGAGAGAGGCAATTGCAGTAAAGTATCTTGCTCAAGGGCACAAGCATCCTGAACCCAGTCAGAACATGAACACACCGCCACACATGAGTAGGGCAATGTGACAATAATAAGACATAATGTATGTGCACAATACACCTGGCACAAAAAGAAACTAAGCAGTTTTATAATCATCCTTGTTTGGCAATTTCTCAGTGAACTAAAAATCTGAAATATATTTTGTCATGCAAACATTCCGGTTCAATTTGTTACATGTACCTCAACTGGGCAAAATGTGTAAGAAACAACGAGAACGCAAGCGCAAGTTGCACTTGGTGACATAACAATAGGCATTGCAACACGCAATTGTATGGAATGATGCCGGCCCTGCATTCAATTGTGTGATGCAATGCCCATTGAAAAGTGCAACTTTTAGTTTGAGCCGAAGGCGAGGGTAGTTATCAGCATGTAGACTCCTGAGACTCCAATGGGTCTTAAACAGAGTGTTTAATACCGACCAAGCACATATTTATTCCCATGCCGTTTCGGGCAAAAAAAATCAAAACTTTTCGGTCCACATGAGTCAAAAAAGTAAAAAATGTCCAACGATTTCGTTTTACAAAACACCCCTCTAGCCGATGGTAAGGCCCTCTGGTAAAGAACTCCTTATATGGAGATTGGCGCGAGCATCGCGCATACTGCATGATGTTGTGCAGAATGCAGATGTACCAGTGTAGTGTGAATTTAGGACTATGAAATACTAACTCACTTACATGTATACATGGAAATGTAGTATTGCGCATGCGTACGCGAGGATTGTGAAGGTTCAACCAATATAACGGTGCTGGCACCGGATTTCATAGGAGTCCAAATTTCATGTGACACTGGAAAAGTATTTGAGACCAGCCAGCCATGTCTTTATCATTCATTTAAGACCGGCCACGTGACGGGCTCTCGACCAATGGGAATGGGTAAACTGTATTAGGTATTTATAAATGTCATTTTAATTGTATAAGTTTGCATCCTTAAAATCTTTCAAGTATCAGCTAGTCAGCTATATTAAATGAACGCAAATTTCAACCAGGGTGTGCGTATGCACATCCTGGTTGGCTTTTGTAATATCTGACTGGTGCATGTAAATCTTGTCTGGTGTGTTTTTAAATTTTCGAATATTTGATTAAATCCATTTTTAATCAAATACTAAATTACATGTACTTTAAAATGCACAGCCCTAGAAATTGACTTTTAATATTGAAGTCTTCATATACATGAAAAATAATATTAAAAGAAAATATGATAAATAAGAAGCTCCTACCTCATTCATAGTAATCTCAGGTCGCCTGGCAACAGATGAGACAGCAAATGTCTGTTTGTTATCTGTAAAACACCCAATAAGAAGGCTGCGTCGACCAAGACAGTCCCGCCCAAACCACAGACAGTGCTGAGACTCCTATAAATAACGAGGAAGCTATTTTTAATATTGGAGTTTTGCCATTCACCGGCATAATCTTAAAAAGCAATGTATGCTCAGTGCCTTCCACATACTCTACAAGTTTAATGAGTGTATGCGTTGAGTCATATCTAGTCAGTTGTAACATTTTGTGCTTCTTCAATATTAGTTGCTTAATGGCAAAACTTCTTCTATGCTTCAAATAAATGTATGAGACAGAGTGGCCAGTGACCATTCCAAATACTTGTTAATTACAGGTTCGCAAAGCAATAAATTCATGTAAAACCCATGCAGAAAAATTATTGTCAAAAAAATTGTACTTATGAAAACCATACATGTAGCTGTCAAAGTTGCCAACATTTAAAAGGGGTACATTTCAAACCATACATTGGTGAGTATGAGATGGAAACATGACACTCTCAATGAGGAAAAAAGAACGGAACATAGATCACTGGAACACTTGTATAAATATACATGTATAATTCAAGAAAATTACTAATAAGGTAAGGTGGCCAATATACATTGTAGCATTACAAAGCAAACTTAAACAGCCCGATTTCTAACTAGAGTTACACGAGAGAAAAGACAATACACCCTACCCAATTTGACCGTAAATTTAAAGATTTGTGGGACTGTATTTAACCACTGTGATATTCTGAGGCCCAATAACAAGCTTTTGATTCAGGCTAACCTTTGACCATTACCTCAGCATGCCGATGTCTACCTGTTTATAAACCTGAGCACACCTGGCCACACAGACACTCAAGGTGCAGACAGGTGTCTGTGCCATGAGGCAAGCAGCCATTCAAGGTCATGCACCTGTAGCTTTGTCAAGAGATGGCACACTGAGCAACCTCCAAGGACAAATGGAGATGTATTAACATTCCACTGCCACCTCAGTCAGTGGTGTGGCATTCCAATTCAGATTCATGTTTTTCTATCTTCTTTATAAATGAGTTAAAACATAGTTTGACATTTATCGTCATGTTTTTTTTCAGCAGGGGAGCAACGATTCTTAAGAAGGTGTTGGAATTTGCTGTAAACTGATAAACAGGTAGGACATCCAAAACCTTCACATATAAGTAACCAAGTAAATCATGTCTAATTTAATCAAGTGCAATTTAAAACAGGCAGTTCCAAAGACACACAGAAACACCTGTGGATGTTAACAAGAGAAAGTCACATTGCAACATTATACCATTTTTCCCACAGTTTATCCTTGAAACTAAAAAAGGCCATGTAGTTGAAATTTGTTTTCTATCTTAGGGTATGCATACACGTACATTTGTACATACATTGTATACAGAGTATCAGACCAAGACGAGGCAAGACTACAGAAGCTGGTGCCAGAGCACACACAAGTCTATTCAATTGATTCAGAATGGCTATTCACTGGAAGTCTTTTGCATTCATCTGTGTATACAATGAGCCATATTTAGCCCATTTAGCCAGGGTAATCATATATGATAGCACTGCCCAGGTCACAAGTGACACTGAATCAGTGATTCAGCGAGGTACAATTTGGCCCTCTCTGGGATTGGCAAAAATACGGAGTCTGTCAAGATATTAAAGAACGATACAGATAACCCAATAAAAATAATAACTTTTTTTCTACAAACTTCTCTTCAAATTAAAATAAAAATGCTTCTTTTGATGCACATGACCCAACAATGCCTTGGTATTGCTCAGTAGCCAAGGAACATTCTTGTAGTCCTTTCTCTGTCTCTGTGGGGGCCCTTCCAGAGGCCGTGCCCGGGGCCAGTGTCAGCCCTAAAAGTTCACAACTCCTACATGCTAATCCATAAATAATAAAAAGCCGAAGCCTACGCAAAGGATGCAGCACATATGAGTTGTACCGCAGAGCTGTGAATGATCCTACAGTGTGTTTATTTGTCATGAAGTGATCCCTCTTGACAGGGGTAGCAATGTGCTATATGGCTGGCAGGCATCAACTGACTGAAGAACAATTTAGTGTAAACTTAGATTTCAAGTCCAGAATGATGTCTTTGGATTTTTTTACAATAGATTTGTAATAACAAAAATATTGACAAACAATTTGCTCACAAAATGACCTCCATTGGCTTAAAATAAATACTGTTTGAATTTAATGCAAGTCACCTTTCCAAATCTACCACAATACAACATTAATGCCCAAGCAACTGTGAACTATTGACACATACTTGGGGTTTTCAAAATACGACGATGAACCACAGGTAGTAATTTTTGGATCCCTATCGCACAACCACAGAAAAACAAGGTTGCAGATATTACATTATGGAGGTTTTTCAGAATTAGATAGAGCAAATTGAATGTTGGGTTTTGCCCTTCACCGATGTATTTTTTATAATTACTGTTTAATCAGTATTTGTGAGAAAAAAATCACTCAAGTGGGACTCAAACCCAAGACCTTCTGCTTACTAGCGCGGACGTCTCACCACTCGACCACTGAGATTGCCAGGGTCGTCTGGTTGGTGCAAATAAGATATAGCAGTGGGTACCGCGGTGAAACTATTCATATGATGGAATTTGCATCAGGGTGATGTAAATTCAATACTGGGTTTGCCCTTCACCGACATATTTTTAATAAACACTGTATATATTCAGTGCTTATAAAAAATACATCCCTGACACAAATTCCATCTTATCAATAGATAGAGTACTTACATTGTAGATTAAATGATTGAATTTGATTGTAAACGTAATTATGCTGGAAGACAAACTTGATTGGCAATTATTCCGGTGAAAATTAGTTGACTGGTTGACTGGCTATTGATTAAACAATTAATTGATCAATCAATTGAATACTGGATAATTGATCAGTAGAACAAAAGATTGATTGATCAGTTTATCAATAGACCTATCCACAAGTCCCTGATCATTGTGCACATAAGCAATTAACGTATGCCGATTTTGGAGGATACACTGTGTCAAAGTCTTGGGCCGAACCCTGTGTTGTTTATGCTCAGTCATGCACAAATTTAGAACTACATTATACTTGAAATCCTCCGCACTGCTCCAGGATGTCACTGGCTCTGCCTCAACATATTGACAGTGATCATTGCTGGAGAAATTTACAGAATTGAGGCAGTGGTCACCTCTCCAAGGACCACATTCAAGAAATAACAGAGGGTTTTGCAGGATTGAGGCTATATGCTATTTTTAAATGGAGGCAGTTGGAGGATTTTGCAGGATTGAGGTTGCATCCTAGCAAAAATGCCTAGGGAGTTAGGGTTAATGGATTGGTCTATTAACTGAAGGATAGATCACATGATAAACTGGTTGAACAACTAATGACATTATTATTATGATAAGTTAATCAGAAAATGAAAAAAAGGTCTACCTGCCAATATATGAAGCTCCATGGGCCTTTGATTTGACTAAGAACTGACAAGATTTCCTGGCCTGACTGGCAGGGCTGCAACATTGTCAATAGCAAGTCACCATCGTTATTGTCACTGTCAACCTGTTGGTGAACAAGGGATTCATGTTTACTTGCTGGATAGTCAGTTTGGGGTTTGGAGTTTGGCCTTGTTTTATTGATTTGGTAAATGAGTCATTTCATCAATTGTTGAGAAACCTTTGATCAAAATTGGTCATTAAATTTGACTACCATTGATACTTGTTTACAACGTTTTTGAAAGAATTTTGTGCAACACTATTTTTTTCATAAAATTGTTAAATTTAGAGGTTCTGCAACTACAATGTGCCACTATTTAAAGAAAGGTTTGGGCAAGGGGTACACACAATATTTGTGGTATCTTGTGGGCCTTGTTTAGCAAAAAAATGTTGAACTAAAATTTGGCACATTTTACAGGTTACTGCAGAATTGTGGCTTGTGCACATTTAACGCATGTTAAAACTTGCAATGTCTTTGCTTTTTCTGTGAGCACAAAATGGTAATGATAATCTAAGCACACAATAATAACTGGTAGGTGAAACAATGAAATACACTGATCCGTTAGGCTTGTGCTTAGGTGTTGTGCTTAACTGATTGTTCTATTAATCTCAATGTCTGGGGTAGTGGAAGGAGTAAATGAATTTAAAGGGAAAATACAACATTTGCAAACATCAAAAAATAAAACTACCAAATCATTTTGAAATACCTTGCTGGACTGTTAGTGAATGACAGTGTAAAGCATCCTGTAAAATCATGGCACCTGGTATACTGTCATTTTCAAGAAAAGTGGTATTTTTGTATCAATTTCCAACGCTGATCGGCCAATCAGCGTTGGAAACAACTGGCTTTTTTTCAAATACTGGCCCCAATTGACCATCGCACTTGTTTGCAATTGATTACAAACCTATGAACGGGTACGAGCCAGCTAGACTGGTTCCATGAACTTACAATTCCCCAATGTATGTAAACTGCTCTGTTTCTTCTTATACGGCGTCAGGGAACCAGACTACAGGAAAATGATCGTTTTTCTTGGTTTTTATAGCATTTTCGAACCCAAAACCTCAAAAAAGTCAGTGTAACTATATTTGCTATATATTTCCACCCCCAATTCCATCCATTTCTGAAAATTACAGCAAAAGCAAATGATGTTTATTCCCTTTAAGAATTGTTTAGTTTCACAAACAGTTATACTGACCTGGATTCCCCCAAATATTTCCCCATTCCAAAGCAGCACATTGCCGTCTAAATCCTCTAGGGGTTGGGGTGTCAATGTGCCTCTCTGATGAAGAACATGTCCAGAAAATAATCCATGAAACTCTGCCGGCTGCTGGCCATCATCGGCACTCTTTGTGTTGATTGGCTTGAGGAGATCATTTGATGAGTCTGGTCCTCGCCTCTTCAGGATATGATATAGCTGAACACATAAATATGTCTATATTAATATCAATAATACATACATAAAACATGATCTGCAAAATCCTAACACCAATGTTGAGGTAAAAAGTAAATAACAAGCGAGGCCAGTTTTGATGAAATTTGGTTACTTCGATCATGAAAGTATTCTAAAGGGATTTTAACCATAGCTATGAGATAACATAATCAAATGATCCACATTGTCATTTTGCCATTTTAAACACAATTTGAAAATGAAGTTTTATACTTTTTTAATAATTTTTTTAAAGATAAATCTCTGTTAACCAATTACTCAAACATTATCTTAAAAATATATTGTATTTTGAAAATGGATATGAAAGCTTACTGACCAGAGTTGTGTAAGCCTACCAAATAAGCACATCTTCTAAAATCTATTCTATAACTGCAAGAGTTACATGTGCTCATGTAAGGTTTGTGAAGAGAGAAAGAGGACTGAGGATTTTCTGGATGTGTTACCTTTGAGTTGACCAGCTTTGCATGCAGTCGACATGGTTCATATGAGGCTGGTGCAAGAAGGCAGTATATACCACACATGATTCACGGGTCACTGCTCTTGTATCATACATGTAAGTAAACTCTGAGCAGCCTGATTGATATACAAGAAAAGAATAAGCAACAAGTGCTTAATATGATACTGAGCACAAAAAAGCCACAAAGACGCAAGAGTCTATTATAACTTATAACTATAACCTATTTATTAATCTCTGAAGAAGAACTTGTTAAGTTCGCAACGTCAGGCCGCATTAATTTTTAGATTTTTTTATTGAATTATTTAACTTTAGAAGCAATAACGACCAAATGAAACCAGTTCCACATGAGCACATTAATGTTGATTTCATAATCACACTTAACACTTATTTTTCAAGTTACCTTTCACACACCGTCACTTTTACATCATCGCTAAAGCGCCAAGGGTAAGTGTGTGTATGCACAACTCTACTCACATGCGATCCACGGCCAGGCCAGGATCCGCGGCCAGGATTCAAACCGTGGTCACCTTGGTGAGAGGCAAGTGCTTTACGCACAAGCCACCCATGCTAGACTGATTCTCTGACCTTACATTCCCCAAAGTCTATAAATTTCTCCGTTTCATCTTAAGTGGGGTCAGGGAACCTGACTGCAAGAACATGATTGGTTTTCTTGGTTTTTCTAGCATCCAGAAGCCCAGAATGTGAAAAAAGTCATTTTAACAATATTTGCTATAACATACTAATCCTCCAAATACATTTATTTCTAAAAATTGCAGCAAGAGCAAATGTTGTACATTCCCTTTAAAACTTACGTTAATTATTGTCAAAATATTTACAGTCGATAATTCTTAAAAATAATGGAAAATTCAGGTCGTGCACAACGCTAGTCATGACGGGAAACAATATAAAAACATTAAATAGGTAAATTATGTATAAAACGTATTAAATATGTAAATATAGGCCTTGTAACAAATTAACAATTATCTATTGAAAATTCAACCATTATATTGAAATTAATCTTGAAATTATAAAAAGAGTATTGGCATTGAAAAAAAGAACGGAAACAGAAAGAAAATGTTGGAAAAGCTCAAGGAAATTTACTTTCCTAAAACCAATGAGTCTAATTCATATAAAAAAATACATATTAATGAGTTACATGGCAGCACAAGCGCAAGCATCCCCTGCGTAGAATTAGGCAGGATTTTTTTCTACAACGCCAAAACTGCACGCTTTGGAAATCCCGCTTGCTGCCATAAAGAGATTTCACTTTGTCAATCGGTATGGTGGATGATCATAAGCCATGTAAGCCAACAATATAAATAAGTTTTGTTGAGGAAAAGAGTGGTTGCTTTGGTATTTTTAAGCTTCTTGGTTGCAAAGCCTTATCTGCGCAGAAATAGGAGGATCGGATTCGGAGCGAGCTAGGACTAGAATACACAAACGTAGCCCCATAAATGTGGCCAATTTACTGGACTACCTCCGTAAATAAAGGCCACACTTCCACCATGTACAAAACATGTTGAACTTTGTCAAATTCTGATTTTCACATTTAGGCTTAGTTTGTAGTTTATTTTGCTTTAGAAGCATACTCACCCCCTGTATAGGCTAATCAGAAAGTGCTGCCTTTCAGATGTCTATTTTTCGTGAAATTTCCAGATTCGTTTGCACATGTTTGCGTATCAAAATTTGAACATGAAATTTCACTAAAATTAGACATCTGAAAAAGGCAGCACTTTCTGATAAGCCTATATTAATAAGAGGGTGAATATGCATAAATAAGGTAGTGGATATTTTGCCGGAGGTAATGACGGCAAACTAACGATTACTAAAAGTTTGCCGGCGGCAATCCATATCAACAGAGGGCGCTGTACTCTTTAAAATAGGGCTGAATTATAAGATGTATTAAATTCCCACCAAATGTTGTGTAGCACGTTTGGTGTAATGGTTAAGCAAAGGCTCTAGTAAGCGGGATGACTCGCGTTCGATTCCGACCGCACTACATTTAAAAAAAAAAAATTCTCATCCCCAAATAAATAAGAATATTCTTCTTTTATTATTTTAACATGTCTCAAACATTTTTTGCAGAGTATTACATTTTCTTTTTCAGATTTGTGGCTCTGGAGGATTTTTTTTAAAAGGGAAATAAAGTCCGAAATTATAAAATGGTCTGAATCCCATCTTGTGAATACGAGGTAACAACGATAATTTTGGCATGGAGCCAGACTAAAACTTTCCACCGGAAAATGTTTAAGTACAAAAAAACAGTAACTGCGCATGTTCAGTGCATATCCGGCAAACTAACGTTTAGGGCCTACTAAAGGTTTGCCGTCTCCGGGAAAATATACACTGCCCATAAATAAAGCAAAAATAAACTAAGCCTAAATGTGAAAATCTAAATTTGACAAAGTTCGACATGTTTTTGTACATGGTGGAAGTGTGGCCTTTATTTACGGAGGTAGTCCAGTAAATTGGCCGCATTCATGGGGCTAACAGCACAAACGCTGAAGCAGTGCCACTGCCATGCCATGTCCATATGGGTCTAGTGCCAGTATGTTATGTGGCGTCAGGTTGGGGGGTCAGACAAGTCGACCGTTGAGACAACTCGACTCGGGACAAGTCGACCGTTGAGACAACTCGACCGTTGAGACAACTCGACCGTTGAGACAAGTCGACCGTTGAGACAAGTCGACCGTATGTGCGATAAATGGAAAGACAAGTCGACCGTTGAGACAAGTCGCCTCGCATGATTTTGGGCCTAGTTTTGGGGATAGTACCGGGGATTTGGACGGCGGCTGATCGCCGTTTGGGAGTTATGACACATGACTTTGTTTTGTTGCATATAACAGAGCAGAGCCGATATAGCGCAGCGTGACTGTCCGTGTATGCACATCAACCGTTCGTTTTGCCGGGCCTGTGCGCGCATCTCCGGTCAACCGCGTGGTCGTGCACGTTAGCTGTCTCAACGGTCGAGTTGTCCCGAGTCGAGTTGTCTCAACGGTCGACTTGTCTCAACGGTCGAGTTGTCTCAACGGTCGACTTGTCCCGAGTCGAGTTGTCTCAACGGTCGACTTGTCTGACATTCGTCAGGTACAGGTTGCAACATTTTTCCATTAACAACCATTGTAATCTAACTAACTAGGCCCTACCTGAGGAAAATGCTTTCACTCGCTAATGCCAGCCAGAGTTCATAGAAACCACGGAATACAACTAGGCCGTATAATATCTTTTCCCAAACAAAATGTAGGCCTAGCAGCGCGCGCCTAGCACTACGCCGGCTGCGCAACAAACTCCACGTTTCCAATTTGCTGGATGGACGGCGCCATCTTGAGCGTGTTTGTTTGGCCGTGTGATGTTACGTACTCCAGTTATGAAAAAAATCAATCGTTTAGGCCAAAAAAAATAAGTCTCCGGTTTCTGGTATGGAGCTTGCCCAAAAAGTGAGGGGGCGACGCGGCTTTTTTTTTTTTTAACCTGACTTTTTTGCTTCAAATGTGTGTTGATGACTGCAAATGGTGCCCGACTAAACTTAGTGCAAATATATGGGAGTCCAGAGAGGCCACACAAAGCTTTTTCTCGACTATAACCCAATCTAAAAACACGTTAAAATTGTGCAGCAGCAGTATTCCAGTCAAACCAGTGAGTTTGGCGGTTTTGAGACATCATCTTTCATTGAAAAAAAATCTTTTTTCATTTTGCCGACGCGCATGGCTACGGCGACGCGCGCGCATACCAGAAACCGGAGACTTTTTTTTTTGGGCCTTAACCCGTAGACTGGTTCCCGGTCCCTGGCCCTCCATTGTCCTTCGGACTTCGAATGTAGGGTCGGAGGCGGGTAATATATTAGGAATACATAATTATAAGGAGGATTTCCTCTTAATATATGCAAATTATATGTAGGACTAGCCTTGGTCTTATATTTTCCCGCCCTTGAATACAAAATCGCAATGATAATGTTAGCGTGGAACCATGCAGCCAATTGCAAAATGGCAACACGGCTACCACTCTGTGCAGTTTGAGTTCGATTTTCGCCGAATTCGAAAGTGTCTTTTGCAACTATCAACTTGATAAGAGTAGCACTGCTTTTTCAGTGTTTTGAAACCTACGCAGTTGAATGCTTGAAAGTTGCCTTTTTGGATGGAGACAACATGGCGATTTTGCCTTACGGTTACGATAAGAATATCATGTGATCCATGCCCAGATTAAAAAAACCATCATTTTCACCCCCCCCCCTAAAAAAAAAAAACAAGTGCGAGTGCACAATGAGCTCCGGCCGTGTTGTAAGTAGTCTTGCATTAAAGTCTTGCATGAAATCGATCAAAATTGATCCCTTCCAGAGCTTAAAAATGCGACGCCGAAAATGCGACGCCGATTGCACATATAGAACACCATACTTTTGGTCAATTTTGGGGGACACACAGACAGACAGACATACCGACCAATCACCAAGTGATGTAGAAGCTCCTGCCAGAGCTTAAAAATCATGCTGCTCACGCGCACGCGCACGCGCAGAGGTGATCCAACCAATGGCTTTAAACGGGAGCTAGCTATTGGTCCCCATGTTCTTATGGGGAGGGGCGGGACCCAGCCTAAGATTTACCTTCCAAAATTGACAACCTCTTGGGGGGAGGGGGGAGCTCAATCCACCCCCCCCCCGAGGGCCCCCCCCCCCTTGGGTGCGCCACTGTGCACGTTTGTTTTCAAATCATGTATATTGCCTGATAACAAAAATGTATAAAGTTGCGAACATACCTGCCTACATCTGATGGGTTCTAGATCTAGTGGAGCTGGCTTGAGCAGATAGTAGGTGCAGCCCAACTTTAGATTTTTTTTCCTCGTAAATACGAGTCTTTAAAGTTCTTCACACGATTTAAAAACCCTAAAAACTAAATCTTGGTATTCTATTTCACTTTTAGTCTAGTTTTCACCTAATGACCACCACAAATTTTAAAAATTCTCATCTACGTACACCGATTAAGGGGTATGCGTCCGTGATTCGGAAGTGAGAGGTCAATTTTTGGTGCGATATTTCTCTTTCAGGTCAGGCGATTTATCAGTTTCTATAAATTGATGTGCTATAGGCCTTTTGGTGGGTGATTTTCTTAAGAAATCAATGAACCAAAAATAATTGCCAAATTTGGAAGTTGTGCACGTTATTTTCCTATCCAAGGGTTCAGGAAGCGCGCCACCTGGCGTGAACTTTCAGGCATTCACGCTCGGCCGATAGGATAGATTTAATAGAGTAATCATGGCCACGACTGCAAGGTTTTGGGTCCACTGTACCAATTCAAGCCCCATTGAAAACAGTGTTAACTCAACAAAGTTCGGGCCAAATAACATGCAAGCCAAAATCACTGGGTTTCTCAAACAAAAATTAAATTATTGTCTTGTCTTTCATCTTTTCGATTCTTTTTAATTTTAGGTACATTAGCCAATTACATTTTTAAATATTCACACCCAAACAAAATCACCTCCCGAAAAGTGATAGTTCCCAAGCCTGCATGCAGCCATTTTACAAGTGGCATCCTTCCACTGTCACAGACAAATAGGACCCATTTTTCATCCGTAATTTTATCAAGCCTGCCCTCAGATGGAAGCCCAAAAAACCAGGGAGTTGGTCCTTGGGTATATTTACACAATTCCACCGTTTTTAAAGCCAAACGGTCTCCGTTTTCAAAAGAAATTGTGGGGGGGGGGGGGGGCACTTTTTATGCTAATGACTCGCGTAGAAATTCTCACTTGGATTAGTTCAGTGCACCCTTTTGGCCGTTAAGACTGAGTCATCACTCTTCTATTTGCATTCATAAATTTTTTTTTTTGAAAAGCGTAACAATGTAGTAAAATCTGTAAAACTTATATGTTTTGTACTAATTTTCAATTCCCATCACTTGCTCAGGCTCCGTTTCGAATTCACAAACCCGGGTCAAATTGCATATTATATGCGACGCTCAAAATGTGTCCACACATGGTCCGCAATGAAAAAGAAATCACATCCAGTATATGGACTATGTACGGTGATTTGATGAGAAAGTTTTCGGATAGCATTTGCGCGCATTGGCTAACTGCGGTTTTAAACAGCTGCAGCTAGATGCTTTATGCATAGGTCATGATAAATTACCCAGAATGCCATCCCCACTTCCTTCACAAGATTTCGTAAAGCTCACCAGCGTGTCCCAGCGCCCTGTTTGCAGGGCGGGGGCGGGGGGGGGGGAGGATACGAGCGAACCCCAATTCCGCCACTTTCCACAACAGCTCGTAATCTTTATGATCAGCCTGTGGGTATTGTCTTCACTTTGGAAGGGCAAAAAAACGAGCCACTATATGTTTGCAGGACGGTCAGGAAGTTCACCATGCATTCTCCCTGAGACCCTGACTTGATCTTACACAAAGATTCATTGATATTAATCCCCAATAAATTGAAATGGTACGGAAGACGGATAGTGCCACTCAATGAGTGTGAATATATTTTTTGGTGCGTGTGAAAATATTTTTTTGTACAGCGGCCGCCACTTATTATGTGGAGGCCGCCAGATAATAAGTGGCGACCGCCACATAAGTCGTCATAATAAGTGGCGGCCGCTGTACAAAAAAATATTTTCACACGTATACAAAAAAATATATATTCACACTTTTTTATGTGGCGGCCGCCACTTTTTATGTGGCGGCCGCCACATAATAAGTGGCGGCCGCTGTACAAAACAATATTTTCACACGCACCAAACAAATATATTCACACTCATTGAGTGGCACTATCCGTCTTCTGTAAAATGGTGATAAATAATGTTTTGAAAATAAAGGCCTTTTTAAAAAGAGATCATTAGGAGTGAAATTATAACAGAGACCACATCCTATTTCAATATTTGTACGGAGCTCTGACGGATGTTGGCTCTGTTTCCTTGCTCTATGGCTATACATGTACTACGGATGTACGCACTGCAACACTAACAAATTATCTACTTCCGTGAATGGAATTGGCTGGTCATATTCTGAACATGAAGGAAATGGCTTTGAACTTGGAAATATGCACGTCTGTTATTGCAAACATGGAGAGAGGTAACTCAGGACTAAGTCAATTATCACCCTATTGTATTATGTCTGGTAAAATCTTACAAAGTGATCGGATCCCACTATCCACGGTTTCTTTAAGGGCCGGGTAACTCGAACAGTTTCCGGTGACTTTCGTATAAAGGTTGGGTCACAAATAATACAAATATTGGTTCGAATTAAAGGAAAAAAGTAAAGGAGAAAACGGGGCCAGCACGCACACCCTTTCAGAGAAATAATGGAAGAGAAATATCGACTTCGCAACCTGACGTACTGCCCCAAAATTTCGACTAGACATAATCAAACACAAACAAACTTCAGGGGCAACTCGTGGGCGAACGTAAGCAAATACTAAGGGTACAATGTTCTCTGTGTTGATTTCAGTCACGAACTGTATAAAAATAGAAATCACTGACGGCATCCGAAAACAAATTGTGTGAGAGGCCCTTTAGAATAAAGACGTGATCAATTCTATATACCTTTTCATACTGAATGACGAACTATACTACTTGGTATTGAGGTGTAAATGTGTTCCTAGTTCCATGATACGATAAGCCAATGAAGATATGTACAATCGGGTAAACTGAGCTGTCAAACTTGGTTACTCGATACCCGCTCATAGGGGTCCCTGTGATTGGTCGGTGCTTGACAATCACTACACATATCAAATAAATAGTTATCGATATACACGCAGAAGGGAACCAGACGATTTGTCATAAATGCTGGTGTGTAAGTGTGCCGGGTGAACAGAGCGCTGTGGCAAGCCCTCACACCAGCTGGACCACCGACCGCAAACCTTGCCTGATTGCCCTGGCCCAGGCCAGCTACTCGCCCCTAAACACACTGAGTCCACCGAGTGAGTCAGGTAAGGTGAATATCATGGCTGGTTCGTTAACGACCAGTCTTTATTCCAGGCTTTTGGTCGCTGCTTCGGTGGCATGCTTAGCCTGTTGCTATAACAGTTTGGTGAGCGGCGCCACCGTTCCATCAAATGCAGCGACATCGGTGGGACAGCAAGGGAGGGCCGGTGACCCTTCACCGCACACCAGTGCAGATAGTCATAGATCCCATCGTGAAGTCTTCCATCACACAAAGGGGTCTTCGTTGTCACAAATGGCAATAGAAAATAACTTTCATCGTACGCAACATTTCACAAAAACCAAAGATGAAGAAATGAGTGATAACTACCAAAGAATACACATGGACGGACCAAGTCCGAGAGAGCATCATGTTCTCTTAGATGACTCGCTGATGATACCAGGGGAGGAGGAGCAGCAAAGCCGGTCAAGGGTTGAGCGAGCTGCGGATGCTGGACTCCCAATCGCCGGGTCGAAATTCCTTGAGAAAACTGTAGCCAGTTTCAACAATGTAGAGGGATCCGGCTCTGACCTGCCAGCCCAAGATATGAACGTCCAAAAGGGTTTCATGGACGAAACTCTATCAGAGACACGGCCAGGGGTGGACAGCGGTGATTGTCCCGAGTGTCTGCGCAGGAAACAGGAGATGGAGAATCTTCCCCCGGAGAAGCTGCGTCAGATGCGTCTTGAGCAGATTAAGATGAGGATTTTGAGCAAACTCAAAATGGAGCAAGCCCCAAATGTCAGTGCAAGTAGTGTGGACATACCAGAGCCCCTTGCTCGGGGACGGATGGTAGGGAACCAAAACGATGTCTCATGGACGACCGACCAACATGACCAAGAAGAATCCTATTTGGAAGATGACAGGTGGGAGGAGGAAGAACTCAATGACATTGAGGAGAATTATCAAGACACAAGTCAAGTTATCGTCACAGCCCATGAAGGTAATACTAATGTATCAGGGATTTCTTTTGCAGCTCATTGCTAATACATGTATTCAGTGCATGCATAGTATTGATTTCTAGAACACTCAGTGAGACGTTAATCCAACCAAGATTATCATCGTATAAGTATAGGTTTATAAGTTTGTATAATCTACTTCAGAGAACCTTTCATAGTTGAACATGACCTTATGGCACTCCGGCTCAATGAAATTTAATTAGTCATCACAAACGTGTCTCCCACGCACGCTTCCATTCTCGAACGTCTTTCATGAAATGTTTTGACAAACAAACGTGCCCACATAAAAAAATACACTGTGAACATAGCTACCTGTAACCTTTGAACTCGCCGTCTGAATATCAGACACTATTGTTGTCTGAACACACTTTTTATTTGTGCGGTTGGGCTCCTATCAATTATTAAAAAAAAAAAAAAAAACTCTCGTAATCGTTACCAGTAGGCTACGGTTTTATTTAATCTAAGGGAGCAAAGACCATCCGAGTGTGCAGGACAATGGATTACTGGTGGGGTATTCCGACATTGTTCCAGGTGAATGTTGGACCCTCGGACACGTGCCATAGTGGTGACAATCTTCACTCTAGACACGTTGGAATGGTAGATTGAATTGGAACATTATTTTATAGTACCATTTGCCCGAATGTTGCACATGTTGTAGTCGTTGTTGGGGATCGAAACTGTAAATATTTGAAAAGGTGTGCATACTTTAAAATCACGAAGAATGTTTTGGTCCGCGTGAATGACGCCTAATTAATGTTTTACAACTAACTTAAGTTGGCGGATCAGACATTTTCCAAAGGGGATGGTATGATGAATTCTAATATTTTCAGGTAGGTGCTTGATGATGCGTTGCAGTCAACGCATAAAGACGTGAAGTGATTAATCAGATATTTGAAATATTGAGGGATGACGTTATTCAGGGAGCTTATTGTGCGGGATTTCCCCCACATTGGTCATTCGGGATAGGGGATGGGGATGGTGGATAGGCATCCCAACCGCCTCCATGAATTCACCCTTGAACAAACGTTCCACACAGTGAGCGCGTTTCGATGCGAAAGGACCGTCGACCGGTCCATCATTGGGACTGAGAACGTTCAGGATTGGCCCAAAACAATTATGGTATGCTGAAGAGACCATGCAAATGCGTTAACGAAATTGTGGCGCACCCGCCCTCCCTGAATAAAATGGTGAAATAAAGTCGCCGTTGAAACAACTATTTCTGCGACCAATTAATCTCAAAATTAAACAGAACTCAATACCTTTCCAAATGAAACATGGCTGCCTCAATATAGATTGTTCAAAATTATTTATTGACTTAGATGTGACTGCTCTATGTTCCGATACCCTTATGTTCAGACAACGCGTAGGCTACATACGATTGTGTTCCTCCCCGGGTTAGGGTTAGGGTTAGGGTTGGGGTTTGGGGTTACTGGTTTGGGGTTTTCTCAAGACCAGCTACGGGGTCACGGAATGTCACGATGTCACCTTTTGAGTTAAGTCGCCAAAATGGGCACGCAAGGTCAACGCTAGGGGGATTGTACATCCATTTTGGGGTAAAAATCATAATTATAGTGATTTGGCCGAAAACTTTACAACCTAAATCACCAACTCAAATGCAAATAAGTGACAGGGTTAACAGTTACGTTTATAATGCAAGAACTGCTAAAAGTACTCCAAAATAAAGAAAAATCATGCAAGAACGCTTAAAATTCAATTCGCTTGTACATTCGCTTGTACCCGCCACTGATCTCTGTCTTTATATAGAGATCAGTGCCCCCGCCCCCTAGCAAACAGGACGCTGTGATACGCTGATGAATTCACGCTCTGATTGGTTGGTTTTTGCGTAACCTGTGACCTGCGCGTCATCACGGTCATGACTCTGCAAGGTTTGAAACGGCCGTTAAGACTGATTCATTACTCTTTTATTCCAGTTTATAGATGTTTTTTTCGCTGGTATAGTGTAGAAAATAAACTTATATGTGTAAATTTACAATTCCCGTCACTTGCTCAGGCTCCGTTTCGAATCACGAACGGTCGGATTGCATTATGCGACGCTCAAAATGTTATCCACATGGCGCGCAATGAAACAGAAATCACATCCGGTATGGAATGTGCACATTTCTATGGGAAAGTTTTCAGATAGCATTCATGCGCATTGGCTAACTGCGGTCTAACAGCTGCAGCCAGATGCTTTATATATAGGTCATAGGCCACTTCCTTCACAAGATTCTGTGAAGCCAGGCTCATCAGCGTATATCAGCGCCGTGTTTGCAGAGCGGTGGGTACCAGTGAACACAGTCCAATAACCCGTGAGGCATCACCCCTGTATTAAAATGCCTACAGACACCAGTGCTAAATGCCCATACTTCAAATTTCTTTTAAAAATACTCAGAACTCTCACAGGTATTTAAGCTGCACAGAAAGATGATGATCAACATGTCATCTTTTATTGTCTTTTCATTTTTTGGTGATGGGTTGACCATTGACGTTTCGAGAAATTCTCACTCAAAGAAGACAACCCCTTTTTTTCCCAAAGCGGAAAAGTAGCCATCTTGAAAAACGATCCCTCCACAATATGGCAAAATAGCGCCACTTTCGAGCCCAATTGCATCCACAATGCTCAGAATTGGAAGGTTCATTGCCATGTCTCTTTAATTCCCCAATTTTACGGCTTGCAGAACTCCCTGATATATAATATTTTGATATAATATAAACTTTTAATTCATGAGCTCAGCGGATGGGTTTAGGCCTATTTACATGTGTGCACCCTGAGCGCTGAAGCATCGCACCGCTAAGGACGTCTTGGAACCAAGACTACCTATGAAGTTAAAAATTGCCTCAAGGGAATACACTACGTATATCGCGAAAAAAAACCATTTGATTTTCATTTAACTATCAAAAACTATGAACAAATTCCCATAACCGCTTCTTAGTACTAAGCTCTTAGATTGTAATATTGTTTTAACGTCTTCATTGTAGAGTTCCCCTTGAAACTGAAACTAACTCTTGCCTTGAAAACCAATGTCATTATAAGTTACTACCGTCCCTACCGTCCAACGCATATCATGCGTTGATATGTGCTGAGTTTAATGGGCTAAGAAACGTTCAAGTTCAACTTGATGCTGTTATTAAGGTTTTAACGTCCATGCCTTGCGCGTTGACTAGTCATCGCGTGCCGGTACCTCGAAGCATGCGCCGCCTACTCGGGGCATCCAGCTTCTTGTTCAGACTTTCTGTTAAATGTAACGTAGTTGCCTCGGCTAATTTAATGGGTCAATTTTATTTGCGAACAGAATTTACAGAAAGAGTGAATTCTGTGACCTCCAAAAAAAGCTCGGCAAGTCTAATTAGTTTATGGATGTGTGCAGTAAAATTACGTTGTGTAATATTCGATAAATATTATCGTTTCCAAGAAAGAACAACTTTAACGAATGAGATGCCCGCATAAGACTAACAAAAAGTGAGATTCATTCAAAGATTTCTTTGTCACTTTTTGGTTCCTTTGCGGAATCTTAGATGGATAATTTCATTATTTGCTGCCACATTTAGTAAACCATTGATTGTTGATGTTGATCTAATTTTCAAATGTTTCAGTTTTCCTGAATTTTATTCTCTAATCTGACCCGATTTTCCCCTTTTCTCCTTTATTCCATCATTTCGCTTCACACCTCATCCACCCTTAGGGCTTAATGGTTGTTTCACCTTCGAAATTACCGCCAGCGTTGAGGAGAACATCATGTCAGCCAAGATGTGGTTCCTCCTTAAAGACAGTGCTGAGGAAGTTGACCAAAACCGGACGTTGGTGGTGTCCCACATCGGCACCGGTCGCCACGCTCGCCGATCAGTGCTCCACACTACAACTGTGGTGTATCGGGCCGACTGGGTGACAATAGACGTCACGCGCGCTATACGTCACATGGTGGTACACGCCAAGAGAACATACATGTTCGAAGTCAGATGCATAACATGTCGTAACCCTGGAAACCCCACCAACATGAAACCAGGGCGGCGACCCTTCCTTGTCCTGGGGAAAGGTGAACAGCGCCCTCGCATGCCTCGGTCCATCATCTGCCCACCAAACCACACGACATGCTGCAAGGAAATATTCTATGTCTCGTTTGCAGAACTCAAATGGGACTGGATCATTGAACCAAAGGGTTATTCTGCCAACTACTGCAGGGGATCATGCGAAGACAACGTAGCACAGGGATACGGCCACACTTATATCATGACTACAGTGAAGAACATGAATGTGGACAGAGGGTTGTCTATAATCCCTTGCTGTGCCCCGCTCAAGACCAAGCCCCTTGTTCTTCTTTATTACGATAATGAAGGATTCATCTATAAGAAACAGCTACAAAACATGATCACAGATAGCTGTGCTTGTATGTAAAGAAGACTTGATGAGCTTCCGTTATTTATTGAAGACGTTGTGTCATACATCGTCGTGAGTTTAGAGGTAAAACCGAATAATGCCACGCCAGGAAAGTCGGTCAAGTGTACAGCTTGAGTGAAGGTTGATTTAACACCACTGGTTCTGGACTCTTGGTTTGAAATGAATCATGTAAAATGAGTAACAGAAATTTATTTATTCAAGTCTCACGTGTCAACTTGTGGGATCATGAAGATGGTTAGAGCTTACTGACTGGACACTGTATGTTAATACAAGCATCACATTTTATAAATCCACTTTGCGGCCTTTTCACGTGGCCTGCAGCTTTAAAAACCGAATTAAATATTTGGAAATGCCAGTTCGTGCAGCGTATTCAGACACCAATCACGTGGTATCTAGTTCTCTCTGCGCATGACCGTATTCGAGTTCTCCAATGTAGCCTATGTCTTCGACCACTATAATGTATAGGTATAACATTGGCGTTGCTTCGGTCAAAGACTGAAAGGGAAAACCCAAGAGTAGCTTTATAAGTCTTGGGTAGTCAGAGAAAGTTCGTAGTCCCTCTCGGTGGAAAGTAAAGGGGATAATAACAAGCTTTCAAGAGCTTGTCGAGAATCTCTAATCAAAAGTTTCGAAAATGGAGAACTTGTTTTGCTCTCTATTGTTGGAAGACGCTTTAGGAACCAAAAAAACAAGAAGGTTGTGTACATTTTTACCTTGACTTTCCAATATATAAAGTACATATTGTAAATAACTATTTCTGCAAAATTATCTCCTAATATGGGAGACGTTTTTGTTTGTTTGTGTGATAAAATTATCGACTTTATTTAAATTAAAGCCTGCTTGTGCGACAAGTTTATTTCTTGGAAATATAATTGTAATAAATGCATTAGACTTCTGGTGAAGAGGCCAGTTTATAACTTGCGATTGTGCGATGCATTCGTCAAGAAATGAGGAGAGTGTTATACCAGCTTGCTCATTACCATGGAATGTGCCTCAACAAAAGTCAGAATCGTGTTTGACACCCAAAGTGAATTTGGAAGGGCTGCGCTTTGTTTACAATACTTTTGGCGATGTTATATTGCAGATGGGCTCTATCTCCAGTTTTTTCATCCACTTTATTGTTATGACTTTATTACTTATTTAAATTTCTATTACATTTTTTTGGGGAAAAATAGTGCAATTTCTTTAAAAGATATTGACGTAATTTGCGGAATATTGAAGATAATTTAATTTGTAAGTGATATCCTTTTTGCGGTATATTATTTGAATGTGCACGATGTGCGTATGATAACATTAACATTATCTTTTGTAAGGTTCGCTTCAGTGTTTAAGGTTCGCTTCAGTGTTCAGTGACAATAAGCATAAGGCCCCTTGTAAAGGTCCTGGGTTTTTTTTTTTGGTTTAAAAAAAAAAAAAAAAACCCTGGCTGTTTCGATGAAACAATTTGCATTGTTGTAGTGTACATTGGTGGGATTGCATTCATTAGTATCCAAAGTTAAGAACTTGTGCTTGATTAATGAACGATTATGCAACGCCATATCTGAGACCGGCAGCTTTTGTGTTACACCTTTAATGCTTTTCCTTCCTTTCAATGTATTTTAGACGTGTAAAATGTTACAACTTGCGTCAATCGCTAAAATATTAAAGAAAACATGATTTTCTAAAAAAAAAGTCGCTAACAATTAAGTAACAACGCAAATTGTATGCATTGAGGAGTTTTGATATATGCACAAAGGAGTTTTGATAAGAGGCAATTCTTTTGGGGGACGGTTAAAAAATGAATGCACATGAACACTTTTTGTTTTGCTTAAGAACAACAATGTCAGTGTAAGATAAATTTTAATTTTAATGCGCATCTATGCAAGCATTTGTAAATTGTTAATACTATACAATTATTCATTTCATATTAAAGTTTTAATTTTAAAGCCGAATCGTTTACAAACTAATAAAGACATCTTTTTGATTTATAGGCTCATCCCTCTAGTTCTGTTGTACACGTACAAGCTGGGTTCTTTGTCTCCCACAAGAGCCCTCCCCGTATGTTGTATGTTGTGCCTTATAAAATAAGTATCACTAAGAGAACAATACAAAAGTTACTGTTATCTTGAACATGCCCAGATATTACAATATATAATCTTTTTGATGCACTATGCAAAAAAAGTTATGTTAACACCGTACGGCATATTTTCTAAACCGTATATATTATTGAGTTGTTTAATATGGAATTATATTAAATCTATATTTTGACGTACATTATTGGAGTCAATGAAGACAATGCCTTGCTCTGTAGACCGATCTGATGACGCTATCGCCGACATTCATGGAGCGCCCTTCAGTGGTGAAAGTATTGTGTCAGCTTTTGTTCAGACACTCCGTTTATGGGCATTTACTTTGTACAATAGCTAGCACAATGCTTACACCATTCATGGGGGCCTCCGTGGATTGACAGTGATGGCATGCTCGGATTTGTGTACAAATCCCAGAGGAGGAAGCACGTCGGTGGGCTCGGCCTGCGACGAGTCCCATTCAATCTTCTATTTCAGAAATAATTCTTTTTGGAGAGGGCCTACGCCATCAATTTCCAGATGCGCTCTGTTCCAGATGTTCGGATAGAATACGTTGGTTGGTTCAGGTTGTGTTCTGTGGCCACAGATCTACATCTGCAGCACATAACTCAGTTTCCTTCATCATTTACTGATATATCCCTTCCTGGAAATTCTTTTCCATTTGTTCAAGACAATGCATTTCGGGATGGATGTACATTCCTCAATGGACGCATCCTCACACTTATCTCTTCATAATTAGTCATTAGTCACGTGATATACAAATATTAAAATGAGCTCTTCAGTCTGTTGTAATGTATATGGCCGGCAATCAGGGGCTGGGCCTGGGGTGGAAGATAATGCCCTTCCCCAATAACTTTTTTTTTGGGGGGGGGGGGCGCCAATGGCGTTTTATGGGTGGTTTGGGGGAGGGAATATCAAAAAACAAAACGATACGGCTATCTCTGTGAAATTTGAAAAGAAAATTGTCCTAGAGGTCGTTATCTTTAATTTCCAGTGAAAACACATTGCCGCCTTGCTCCTGAGCGCCACCAGGCGACGCTTTTTCTATCCGATTTTGAGTTGTTTTCTACACTCTACAAACACTCTTTAAGTTTGACTAGAAATCAGTCCAACTTAGTTGCACCCATCTGACCCTAGCTGTAGGCAGCTGGGTGTGCGTTCAACCTGCCTGTTTCTAGTCAATTATAGGTGTTTTTAAAGTGTGCTATGAGCGTGTATTTAGTGGAGTAGAACCTGCTCGCGGAGCAGGGTCTGTGCACGGTGGAATACGCCACACGCATGCGTGGTTAATTTATAGAAAGCTTACATATAGGCTATGTCGGCTGGACAACGGGAAATATTCACTGATGATCTATAGGCCTTTCTTTTGTTTGTAAACATTGGCGCCATTTTGTATGGGCTGCCGTAAGCGCTTAAATTGAAGCCGTGGTTGGCAACATATTTTTCCAAAAAAGTCCTCATAACGCCATCAACACATAGTAAAAAGGCATATGTAGGAATTATTTTGTAGCTTTGTTGAAAATGTTGTATTTTCAAGTATCAAATAATATTTTGGTGATCTGTAATAACTCTTCTTCATTTTTGCCGTGTTGGATCTCCCATAGTTTTGCAGGCCGTGGTTGGCAAAAATGCAGTTTGCCAACCAAGCGCAGAAAGGTCTATTATACTGACTGGATAGCGCTTCGACCAATGCGCGTACACACATGACACAAGACCGTGACGCCCTCGCACACACGCGGCGGCCATTTTGAAACTTCCTCAAAACCCCACAACGCACGGATCCTTATATAAAAAGCACAGAATAACATTAGTTTAGGAAGCAATTTTGGATCATCGAACACGTTTTTATTTATTCATTTTGTCCACAGTGTTATTTTACTCATGCTAATATTTGTTTAAGTATATAATTTTATTTCGTGACTTTGAATATATTTTTACGTGGCCAAAGGGAGTCTAATATCCAGTCGGTATTATAGAGATCGGTGGGAATATTAAGTGTACCCAAAATCAAATTGATTTTAAGTCTTAACAGAATTATTTATTGATCTCCGTGCTACACTAGAGGCTGTTATTTTAGTCCGACGTTGTTACTTTTTGCAATTGACGGAAAAGCAGTCGATCTCACAAATCAGAGTACTCATTCCGAAGAGGGCGTTTTGTCAATGGCTACGGCTACGGCTACGGAAGTCACGTGGTAATTATGATGGCGAACGTTTGATTGTTCTATTAGCCCGGCTGTCGTGGCTAACCCGTTGGTCTTTATCCGAGTCGACACTGGTGAGCTAATCAAATGCACTCTTAGATGGCTGTGATCGAAACTGTCATTTGTGAATAGCGCCCTCTCTTGGTTCCTGCCGTCACGTGTGCATTTTCTCCCCCCCCCCCCCCGGTCAAAGACCATACATAGGCGGATCCAGGATGAAGGGGGCGGGGGACACAGCTGTCAAGGGTAGCAAGCGTTTTCAATTTGTTCTGCATAGTTTTCCTATTTGGGCGGCCCGGGAGGGATTAGAACCCCTAATAGGGCCAACCCCCCCCAACCCCCAACCCCCCGATCCGCCACTGGCATATGCGCATAGTTTGCTGATGGAATTGTTCTTCTGACTTTAATTCCAATACAAAAATGTATTGTATTGAAATAGGATCACAGAAAGGAATTTGAATTTTTTTCGGGAAATGTTACATCACTGGCAGGGACTCGAACACCGTACGGCCGGCGTCAAGCATGATGCATATATCGAAAACAACCACACTTATCCACTAGGTCATAGCCGGTCCTAACCGGGGGGGGGGGGGTATTTACCCCCCCCCCCCCCCCCCAAAAAAAATATTTTGTAAAGAGTGCATTTTGCCCCCAAGTGCCCTGTTTTCACGAGCGCCCTTTTTTAACAATTGCCCTTTTTTGGAATGTCGGAAATTGTGCAACCATGAAAAGCGGCAATTGTTGGTAGATAGAGCCCACGATCGTCCGGTTTGAACAGCGCCCCCATAGGAATATGGTTTATGTCGTTTATTGCCTGTGGAAAAATAAACTCATTTGATTGAAAACTTTTAAAGCCATGACTAGAAACGTAAGAGCTCCATAAAATGGAAATGTACACTTTTGCGGCATTAGCTTGTGCTGGTAAATTAGTGGAGAGAGGGAGACCATGAACCTGTATCACACACGAACACATTGCACAAGCAAACAAGGAGAAACTAATTCATAACATATTTATTTGTAACTAAATAAAATGTAAATCTGATAAAATGCTTTGATTCAAAACTAGAACACAGACAACAGCCAGCAATTATTCCTGTTGCCCTAACATTATTTTGTGGTCGTCGTTATCCTGTAAATGAAATGTAATGTCGATAGTTGACGTGAAAATGTTTAATTTTCGATTTTTAAGAGTCCTTATATGTTTCTAGTCATAATAATAATAATAATAAAACCGTTCTTATTAAGCGCATTACACACTGAGTCCCAATGCGCTGTACAAATTAAAAATAGGACAAAAATTAATCAGAATTGAACAAATGGGTTTTGAGGAGGCATTTGAATTGGTCCAGACTTTGTGCGTCTTTGATGCTTTGGGGGAGTTTGTTCCAAAGAGTGGGCGACGATGTAGAAAAAGCACGCTGGCCGTATGTCCTTGTAGATGACGATGAACAGGTGAGTAGGGATTTTGAATCAACCCGGTTTATTTCTTCAAAGAACAATTAACAACATCAACAGCATGAAAAAACAAAATTTAGTCTGACGTGATTTTAGTCTGACGTGATTTTTTTTTTTTTAGCTATGGCCGCTGATTTGCCCGGGCCCGCTTTTTCTGTGACACACTGTATAAAAGTAGGAAAGGTTATTAAAATTGACTATGAACTTACGAACACAACTACACCTGAAATAATTATAGGCTTCGTGTATTATAAAAAAAATTGGGGTAGCAAAAAGTTTGTTCCTCAAAAATCGAGCCGTTTGAGTCTTAGTCTTTATTCAAGTCATGTTTCTTTTCAAAAACGTTGCTTCATACACACGTGCTTTCATTATCATGGGATCTTAGTGAGTTGTCACTTGTTTGAAATGCATTATGCAACGTCAGTCTAACGATGGCTTTAATCGCTGCTGGAAATACGTATATTGTTTAAAACAATGCATAAAGAGCTGCTGCATCAGATGTAACAGCATTTTCAGTATTTTCTCCGAAAGTGCGAGACATTGTCGGAGTTTCTTATAACGCAGACATTAGTATGGTGAGTAAAATATCAGAAGCACTAATTGTTTTGGCACTTTCGGACGCGAATATGCCTTTTATAGCGGGGACAAAAATAGCAGACAGTGTATATATATTTTATCAATCTGGCCAAACTGTAATGTACGCTCATCGTTACTAATTAGCATATTTTCTCTTTATCATCTATTTTCAAGTACTTATTTGATCAATCTTTCCCATGAATGGGGAACTATTTGTTGCACCTTGAAGTTCGCATGTAGAGTCAATTCGGTCAAGAACAATGTGTTTGAGACGTCATTTCTCAATCACTCCACTTTTGAAGAGGTAAAATGCCCTTTTAGGATTCGAAGGTGACCCATGGATGTACCACAAGGATCGAGTAATTAGGACACGCCCCAATTCAGAAAACAACATATCCGGTTGACGGTTCTGTTACCGGGTTTCATCTTTCCTGTCAGCGCAGCCAGAAGCCTAATTGAATTTGCGCAACATCTGTTATGCTGATGTGAGGTATAATAGACTTGTAACAGATTCTGACTTAACACGTGGGCAACCCATGCGAAAATATAATTTATTGACAAATCATACGTGCTTATGTGCACGTTCATTTAGCCTACATCGTCGGAAATCGCCGATCATTTTCTGTTTAAGTTTGTTTTCTTCATCCTATTTTAAAGGTCAGATGTAGCACTATTTCTCAGAAAAGACGGGGGATAAGTTATTTAAATCTGACGCGATGGATTTTTTGTGGCATAGGCCTATGCATACGTATTTTCAGCCGTGAATGAAAATTTGCCCCATCTTCTATGCCCACATGTTAGACGATCCCATTAAGGGTAGGCCTATATACACACACGTTTGCAAATCGAGGATTTCCCATTGTTCATGGGTTATAATATTAAATAATATTTTTACAACAGCTCCCATTGGTTTTGTACGCGTTTTCCAATCGAGGACATCCTCCTATCCTCAATTGGAAAAAAAGAAACAATATTTCACATGTATCTCCTAGTTTTGTAGCCCAATTTGGCGCTTTCCAGGACGGAGTAGCCTTTAAGCAACAACTTGCATTACCTGAACTTTTACCACCCCCTCCCCCCAAGAAGTATTCTCAACTTCAGTACATTATCAACACAGATAGTTTGTCCCTCCTGATGTCTACGTCGTGTACAAAGCTCATCATGTTGTCTAAAAAGATGAGTATCAGATATATTTGATTCTGCTGGTAAAGTCAAAGTCAATTAGGAGTGCTTTTATTGGGGGAAAACAAGTGTGGGGGCACCTTGGGGAAGGGGGCGACTGGGGGAGAAGATTTTTTTTCACGCCTCCCCCACGCTCCCCCCCCCCCCCCCCCCCCCGTAGCTACGCCGCTGCAACCATCTCGAAAGTCTAATCGAGATGATGCAGGTGTGGAGAAGTGTAACAAGACGAGGCGTAAAAACGTTGAGTCTCGATAGTCCGAAGTACCATTGATCCGAAGTCCCACTGGTCGGAAGTCCCACTGGTCCGATGAAACATAATACTGTGTAGTTCCACTGGTTCAGGTTGACTGACCCTAACCCTAACCCTAACCCTTACCCCAATCCTAACCCTTACCCTAATTCTATGGGACTTCGGACCAATGGGACGTCGGACCAATGGGACGATTATACCAATGGGACGTACAGAGCAATGGAATTTCGGACCAATGAGACTTCGGACCAATGGGACTTCGGACTAATGGGACGTGGGACCAATGGGACTTCGGACCAATGGTACTTCGGACTATAGAGACGTCCCCGTAAAAACACGAATGTTTGGCTTTACTTCGAAACAAAAAACAAGTAAGTATGATGAAAATTGGCCAGCACTTTGTTCAAAAATAGTCATAGTACAAAAATACATCAATTACAAAGAAGGGGAGGCCCCGCACCAGGTGCGTCCGGTGCACGGATCGAGAGAAACGTAACCATTCGACAAGGCCATTTTGGATATGGGCCGGCATTCGTCTGAGAAGTACTACGCGAGTTGAGCAAAGACTACACACGCCAAGTTACTTGTTCCTCAACCTCGTCCCCACTGGTAACTTTATTTTCAACATCGTTTCCAATAGTAACCCCTGAAAGGGAAATTGTCTTCCTGTATCCTGACTAAAAAATGTGTGCACCCCTAGGTGCCCCCTCAGAATTGTAACGCTCGTGACGCAACTGCTTATGTCTTGTGTAAACATAAGACGAACGGCGAGACGGCCTTGCACTCTTCATAGGGGCATCGCTTAGAAAAATTGTGTTATAATGATGGAAATAACAAGGAATTTCCTTCAATAACAAGTGGATGGGCGGATCCTCCAGGGAGGAAGAACTGGCCTCAAACGTACTCGTGCTACCCGAAGCACGAATCACACATCTCTGAATTCTATTGAAGAAATTCGTAGGCAGGTGTGAGAGAACTTTACGAGGTGGTTGCTGGGCCGAAATATTATTTTCTCCGAGGGTAGTTCGTGCTGATGGTGCAAAACATGTTGTCCTTGTATTCTGCCTGATCATAAAATTGAATGTCAAATTAAACGACATCATCCTTCGCACGTGCATGTCGAGGCTGGCAAATATGAAATATTACTCGCATTGTTATCACCTGATAGGAAAGACAAATTGCGGTGTATGGTGTTTTAACTTGTGGTTATTTTTCTTAAATTGTTCAATCGATCCCAAAATTGCCAGCTTTGTTGTTGTTGTTGCGTGTATGTTTGTACATTGTAAACACATTCAAATAGTGGATCTTGAACAATAGAGGACAATAGGGTCCACGACTGACCGAAGGTCCACTTTTGATGTGTGTGTGTGTGTACAAAACATATGGGAGATCTTCCTAAAAAAGTTCAAGTATAAACAAAAGAGAGACAATAGGCGGTCCACAAATGAAGGTGTTTACAAAGACATACTTTTAAAAGCTTTTTTGGTATTTCTCAATTAATTAATTTTATTAAGAGTGCATTTTTTTCAGAGAGCTGTAATATATTCTAAAGATGGACAATTTATTCACCTCTATTCGAGTGAAAAATCACTCCCGCGCCTACTGAAACTAACGGACTGAAAGCGGGCCCCGAACACCTCGCCGTTAGGGCTTCGCGCTTCGCGCTTCGCGCTCGCATTTCTTCTTATCACGGTATGTCCCTCCCCAATTTTTAGAAGCGATTGACGCCCTTGACTGAAACTGTTTTAGAATGAACTAGACCGAGTAGATGAAGTTTTCACTCGATTTTTTTAAATGTAATATTACAGTTATTTTTACTGTAAACCTTCTAGTCTTTAGTATCACTCTTTTGATATTATTGTAACGAAACAGCAGTGATATTAAGCTTTTATTTCATAATTAGCCCCGAACTTGTTTTCTTGACACGGACAAAAATTCTGTATTCCAGATTCCACGGACAATACTTCGAATCCTACTCATCTTTTAAGAGGAAGAAATTGAGCGCCGCATGAATGTGAAAACAGCTGGCCCTAATACTGACCGTCCTTAGAGCGGAAACACATTTTCATGTGAATGACTACTGTTGTCAAGAGTGCCATGGGAAGTAATGACACTCCCATACACCAGTCTAGACGTTGTAGACTTTCCATTGTTTGCAAATTAGCTGTCTGGCCCAGTTGGTTGTCATTATGCACCTGTATACTTGTACGTGCTCGCTCGTACGCAGAGAGCCAGGTGCGTTCACCAGGTTATAGGGTTTTTTTGGGGGGGGGATCCTAGCCAGTAGATATTTTCTCGCGAAACCTGTTGGGGAACGACACCTGTTCTAGAATACTTCAGATGGGAATAATTTTAAAAACCCTGCATAAACTAAACTATAGATCCTTTGCAGCCATCTTTGAGGCATGTGCTTTTGTTTCAAAGCATAGTAGAACTCTTGCGCATTCATTACGTGACATGTCTGCTGAATGCAAACGGTCTATAGGCCTATGTCATCAGAATTTAAAGAGGAAGAGACAGGTGGCAATTACCTTTTTATTCAAACAAGTACAGTCAGTGACCATAATGCGTATGCGTCAGTCGGTAACGGAATGGTTCTCGGACTTAATTTCCCTTAAAAAAAAAAATTTTCCGGAGCCATGAGTCAGAAAAAAGAAAGAAATGTGTTTCATGGATCAGTAGGACTTGTCTTGATTAAACAGAATTTAGGAAATTCACATAATTTTATTCAATGGAGTTATTATGTTTCATGCATGAGATGATGCGTATCAAGTTAAAGGGCCCATGCAATGAAATGTTTTAATGCAATCCTCGAAAATGCATTAGTGTCACATTTAACCATATTTACAATTTTCGTTTTGCCTAGTATTCAAGGGTATTGTGGTACTTGTTTGGTCTTTATGCTTGTGCGAATTTCCATATTTACGACCAAATGAAACCTCAATGTTACAGGTGGGCCTATTTCAGCACCAAAAGTTGCCCGAAAGTTGGATATTTTTTGATGTCGTAAATTTTCTTTTCTTTGGTGATTCGTTGTTGTGTCAGTACGTGGCAGTGACCCAATGAGCAAACTTTTCTCACAAATGTTTTTGACGAGAAAATTTTGGGTTTACGATTTGAATAGAAAACCCCTAAACTGAACAGTGTCTTCCTGAAATGACATTACAGCAACAGCGCCCCCAGTTGTCCGTAAATGCATGGACATTTTTCACAGTTAAAAAAACAAGCCCTTTTCAATAAAATTAACCAAAAAGGGAGATCAAATATTGTTCATACATTTAAGAGGAGTGGAAAGTGGCACAAACTATGTTCCTAAGAAATTATTCACTTCATAGACCTCGTAAATGACTTTACAAACCTGCAGAAGAAATATGTGTGGCGGGTGGGCTACTTGTGATTTGACTTGTGACTTTACAGCAGAATGCAAGAAGGAAGGACACAAAATCTGCACAATGTAAACGCTTACTGTTGGCGTGCGTTAGTTGCTAGAAAGCGCTCACAAATTCTCCGTAGTATCTAAAGTAAATTTGAATTTTTCATCTTGGTAGTCATTACACATTGTAGATAGTACTGAGCCACGATCATCAAAAATATCCGGGACACATGAAAAATAATATTAGTTGAGAATTGCTCCAAACATGGGGGAACTTGTATATATGTATTTATTGAAATGTGTGCAGATGGTTGTACATAGCATTTTTTTAGGAAAATAGTGAGAGCTAATGTCGGAAATTCTCACAAGTGTAGCACGCAATCCTGACTGGTCTCAAGCTCAAGTCAGAATTTCATACCGAACAAAATATGGAACTAAACCACAGGGTGACTGAGCTGTAAAACGCTAAGAATAATCATCGTGACTAAAAAATAACTAACTACAAAAGAAGCTTAAAAAAAAAGAAGATGAAAAAAATATCTTATTCGTGGTCAGACAATAATGGTCCCATTTAAACAAATATAGAACAGGCTACTATAATTAAACTCATTATAATTAAACTCAAGATGTCCACCAATAGAACTTACAGGTGAATTGGGCCACCCTAGCAATTGTTCTTAAAAGACAAATCAAATAGCGGCTTAAATAATTGATTTAACTATATAGATGTCATGTAAATAATATAGGTTAGTCCTCATTTCAAACGGCGTAAAACCTAAAAAGTCAAGAAACAATACAGTGATTTTCTCGGCAAACACTATAGAGAAGACTAGACATTCTTTTAAACAAGTAAAACTGGGTATATGAGCAGGAATGCTATTATTAACATAACATTAACACACAAAAAAGGAATTCAGGGCCTCCCAAATTTCAGAGAAATGACGTGGATAATAATCATTCAGTGATCCTGGCTGTTCACAGGGTTAGAATGCTAGTGTGATGTCTGACCCAAATGCCTCATTATAAATAAAATGTGGGTCTAATTCCAAGACGAATGCAATAAATGGTGACCCGGGCCATATATATTAGGGAGAAAATAACCAAAAAAAAAAGGTCGCCAAGCACTCTGCCCCAAAATAGTGCATTTGGGTGTGCAACATCAATTAATTTTAATTTTATGCTATTTATTACTTTTCTAAAAACTTTAAGTCTCTTCTTGAAACTGTTTTCTTTGGTTTAAAAATTGCATTTTCATTTCAAACTCACCACTTGACTTCTCCTGCCTCTTTAGACAAAACTTCACGTATTCATTGCTATTACAATTCTTTCTTGATAATATTTAAGAAGCACTGCATTTTAATGGATGTTCTGTTATTGGGCACACTTTAAAATGACAGATGAGAGAAAGACGAACCGGTCATAGAAACAGAGTTGGTGATGCTACTCTGCTGCTTTTGAACGCCAGTGAATTGATTAAGAATTTGCTGTCATTTCAGTACTTGATGTACCAGCGTCAATGTTCTTGACCCTTACCGGCCAAAACTATCTGCGTTTATTTGCAGCTACAGGACGTGGCTGATATCTCATGTACCTCGCGTCGAATGAGTGTGCCGTTGGAATGGCGGATCAGCATGGATTGTGCAGCTGCATAGGAGGCAGGCACACAGCAAGGCACGAGGTCTTGGCGCAGATCCTCATCTGTCTCAATCAGGGCGCGGTCTCTCATCACCTTGGCGTGCACTGTATCAAAATTAGCAACTCGCAAGCAACTGCCTCGGCAGAAATTAGCAAAGATGGTGGAAGGATGCTCCACTATACCTACTAGCACCTCTGCCAGGTCCACCTGGAATGGGTGCAGACAGCAGGTGTCTGAATCGGCCGGACATGTCTGACTCTGACGCCGCAGTCTCTGGTGGTGCTTATCTGCGTCAATGGCCACGGTCAGTATTGGTAGCTCATCCCTGGCCAGTGAGACGGCAGGGAAGTGGGGTAGATTCTGGGAGGAATCAGTAGCGGCGTTTGTCAGCTGGATACGGTACTCCAATGAACTCCAGTCATTCATCTCTTTGGGTAATTCAAGATGGAACCAGCCTTCCCGTTTGCTTACCACCTGGAATAACAAGCAGAAACAAACAATTGCAAACACGAATTAAGGATTGTTTATTATTATGCGTCGTTCATTTATTTGACTATGCAAAATCATGGAGCTATTATTTAATAGCTCCATGGTAAAATCGAGAGTGGTCGTTTCTAATGACTCTCACTGTAATAACTTTAAGGCTAGGAAGACCTGGAGGGCAAATCCCTGATTCTGTGATGTGTCCGCGCCTTCAAACTGCCTGTAACTTCAAAAGCCCCTGACGAAATCCTAGGTTTTAAAAATTAGGTAAATATTTAGTTTGTCTTCGCCGTATTTTATTTTATTTGCCAAAATTAAACACGCCCCTCGACTTCTTTCTAAATATTGTTGACAGGTAAATGTCCCTGGCTGAATAGATTTATCTATAAGTACCTTTGTAGCCAGCTCCTTTCGTTTGATTCCCGACTCCCCAGAGAGCAGCAGCCATACGGTAAAACGCCGGACGGGACTTCGGTTGATTTCATCGGATGAAGTCAGGAACATCCAGAGATGAACGGACTTGATGTTTTTGCCGATGATATCCCTAACAAGACGGAACCGGAAGCAGAATCCTGGATCGGGACATTGCTTGGTATCTACGGAGAGCGAAAAGGGCAATAAAGAATTGTTTGGTCTCTACTTTAAAGAGACAGACGATCATTGGGGTTTTATAGAGGCATTTTTCTGCACTATTAAACGTAAAATGTGGGGGGTGTGGCCTAGTAGTTATAGGGTTCGTGACTCATGATTAGAGGGTCGTGGGTTCGAATCCAGCAGCTGGCATTATGTCGCGTCCTTGGGCAAGCCACTTCATCCCCACTTGCCTCTCTCCACCCAGGAGTATAAATGGGTATCGGCTTTAGCACAAGTTCGACGCCTCATAAGTCCGAAACATCGTTTGTCCGTTGTCGGAATTACGAGGCGTCGGACTTATGAGGCGTCGGACTTACGAGGCATCAGACTTATGAGGCCGAATCCCTAAGTGCAATGCCTCATAAATCCGACGCCTCATAATTCCGAAATTTCGGACTGATAAAGCGTCGGACTTATGAGACGTCAGACCTACGATACGGCCCCGGCATTAGCTGAGAGTAACCGGCGATGGACTGGCATCCAGTGCAGGGGGAGTAGAAATATTCTCAATCGTTTCATGCTAGGCCTACTGAAACAGGAGATAAACGCCGACCTGATGGGCCACATTGGCTCGTGACGTTTACTTTACTTAAACGTAAAAAAGCTGATGAATTACGAAAAGCAGAGATTATTGGAATGGAAAGTCAAATTCAGCTAAACAAGCAATTGATTAATATATATTCTTCATTATAGTTTTTTTTTATTAAGAATGGTGCACAGCAGGCGCTTTGGGTAAATATGGAAGATATTTCTTGATAATTATGAATAGTCATAATACAAACTTAATTTGTGGCTTCTTTCAGCCTCGTATCGGCAAACACGCTATTGCATTTATAACATACTGGTATTTAATAGTAATATATTTAATTTCGCTTACAATTCTCAGCATAAGATAAGACTTCGGTGATTTTACTGCCTGGTTGTGCATATCTCGGTAAGTCCCTCTGTGGTGGTTGGTGACCGATGAGTCTTTTCTTGATCGCCGATGGTAAGCTACGAAACGTTTTGTTGGATGGCGGGGGTAGATCCGTCAGTCCAAGTTTGTCCAGGAGTTGCCTCCGCAGCATAGCGATACGGAACGCTCTCTCCCTCACCGTAAGACTGTCTGGGACATTCTCACTGGGACTCGGCCCAGGCCAACGGAGAGGAGAGGAATGAGCTCCGGTTGTACGATGCTCGTCATCGGATAGTTCAGGCTGGGATGTTGTGGATGATGATGATGGTGGTGGTGACGTTGATGCAGTAGTCATCACAGGAGACCGGAGAAGACTCCGAGTTAACGGCTCCTTGCTAGTAATGCACTCATCCTGCCTGATATCTAAGGCACCAGACAGACTTTCTTGGCTTAAATCATCTTTCTCTCCTGATACAGCTGTACATCTTCCCATACAGGTGCAGTAGGTTAGTATCAACAACCAAGTAAAGAGTACAACCGTCATGTTGAAAGTTGAGAGATATTGTTGCGGTTTTACGTTAATTTGGGGCAATGGTTATTGGTCTCGTGCATTGGCTGTCAGATTGGACAGACCCGCACCACAGGACAATGTAGGACCCGTCTCCCACCAAAACAATGCACCATGCGTTATAACCAGATGGAATTATGCTTCGGAATGCGGTGTCAAGGTTGACATACAGGGAATAAACTCCTGGATAGGGATATAATGATCGTGAATGAATTTCTAATGCTCTCTTGAATGTGATGTCGAAAGCCTCCTTCCATAGAAACAATGGCAAACGGAACCGCCCAATTCCAGTCAGTCACCGGCGGGCGCTGTCCAAATTCTCTAGACATAGTACTGGTGATTTTCTTACAGTAAACAGAACATTTAGTGTGACGGATAAAACGTGAGGTTTGAAACTGGTTTATGGGCCGGGTCGCTGATGTCCCGGGCCGAGTCTGTACTACGGGTCTGTACTCGTATACGTCTCGACGTGTAGTGTTGGAGTAAGAAGTAATTACCGGTACTTTACGATAACCCAACGATACCCAATTCAGTCTATATTAACTTAAGAAAATGCTGTAAACTTTATGATGCATTTTCTGTGATATTTTCGGGTTTCACCCTAAAACTTATTTTGCTATTAATTTCTATTTTTGTTTTAGCAAAACAAAAGTTATTCACTTTTTAATGAGAAAAAAACTGGGGAAAAAATGGCTCACGTTAAAGATGATACACCGTCCTCTTAAAAAAAGGGATCTTTTGATCCTATAACGAGTTTTCAATTTGTATTTGAAGGGTGCTTTGATTTTGTGCACACATAACCCGCCCTGCAAAAGCCAAACGGTTGTCTGGCAGCCAATAGTCCGAATTTTGTGGGGAAAAAAATCAATAACTAAAAATCTGTGGAATTTATTGGTTCAATGTCTAATTCAAAAGTGAATAACATAAATATTGCTGGGAAAATACCAATTGGGAAAAAAAAATCTAATTTGTGAGGTAAAACTCGAAAACAGCACGGAGAATACATCTTCAATCTAAATGTTGGTTTAAATTCAATTTATATCCAATTATAATAAATGTAATTATAACATTAATTTTGTGTATTAATGAACAACGTTGAATAAATGTCTAGCAAATTGAAATGTAATAACAAAGCCTTCAGTATCAAATTATTTGCGGCCCGACAATTATTCAGTTTTCTCAGGTTCCCGCCTTCCCACCACCGACCGGTTCCCCCCCCCCCCCCCTTTGAATCGATGACGGACGTGGAACAAGTGTACTCGCAGAGGGATCAAAAACAACCAAAGATAAAAGCCTTTTATCTCAGAGGTTTGAAAAAAAGGCACGGACATCTTTAAAAAATGAAATAAACCGACGAATGCTTGAAAATAATTTGGCCAGTTTTTAAGCACCTCTTTCTGTGGTGTTTCATTAAGGGAATAAATGTGTGCTCCGGAGGTTTTTATCACTCTGTTTAATACCACTTAGAGTCTGGGTGCTGATAATTACCCGAGCCGGAGGCGAGGGTAATTATCAGCACCCAGACTCTAAGTGGTATTAAACAGAGTGATAAATACCGACGGAGTACATATTTATTCCCATTCATAAATACCTTTTCGGTAAGAAAAATCATATAATTCGTTCAAAACATCCCGATTTTGTTCAACAAATTCACTTTATGCTTTTTGAAACACCCCTCCTGCAAAATAATGGAGTGTTCAGCTGGCGAGTAAGATGAAAACAACCCTTTTATGGAGATTGACGCGCGCGTATCATGTTCTACGCGATGTCGCGCAGAACGCACCTGGCGCGTTGCGTTTTGAATTTAGAACTATAAAATTCTAACTCCCTTGTAGTGTTGCGCATGCCTACGTGAGGATTGTGAACGTTCAACCAATGAAACGATAAGAGGCACTGGGTTTTTAGGAGTCCACATTTTATTGTGACACTGGAAAAGTGTTTAAGACCAGCTAGCCATGTCTTTATCATCCGTTTAATACCGGCCACGTGACGGGCTCTCGACCAATAGGAATGGCTAAACTGTCTGAGGTATTTATGAATGGTGGTTAAAATCACCCATGTGACGGGCTCTCGGCCATCAGGGAATTAGAAAATGTTTAAACTGTTCCACGTATTTACAACTACTTATAAACTGTTGTCACAGTCCTGTGATTGATTGGTGAAATGTTTTCCCATCGGTGACGTCATCTATAAACGCACATGCGAGTCAGGAAGGATTGCAGTTTCATTATATGCGGGAATACACGATGTCGTGCACAGCCAATCCAAGTGAAACTTTGCACTGACTTTTTTATGTAATAAAAGAAGTCAACATATTTATACACACGGGACCATATAATGATACGTCAGCGCGCATGCTTGTCAGCCTAGCCAATCAGATTACAGGGAAGAACATTCGTTACAATGCATAGCAACCAATGAAGAGACTCCGCCGCCGTCACTGTCCTAAATCAGAAGGTCATGTCTACGGTCTGTATTCATCTTGGAAGTAGCCTTATTGGTCTCCTTTGTGTAATTTTGGGATCTGGTGAAAAGCAATTATTGGCAACGGAGTCAAACAACGATGATCTAGGTCCATGCATCGATTCACAGTCCTGGCCACGTTATGTTTTTTCCCAGGAGGGTTGGGGCCAAGTCATGCATATTTCAGTTTTTCCTTTGAATCATTGCAAGACACACAGGTTCTTGTTCTCTTTTATTCCTTAAATTAGTATTATCTCAACGATAAATTTAGAGAAGTAAAAAAGTCGATGAACATGAGCAGCGACGACGTGGATTCGAACAAGGGATCTTTGTATCAATAGCTCATCTCGCTATCCACTAGGCTACTGTGCACCTCGCCAACAACCGTTCTATAATGTTTTAATGTAACTGGTTGACTAAATAAAAACAATGCTCTTGATATCATTGTTCTGATCTCATGAATAAACATACTGGCCCGATCGAAATACTGAATTTTTCATGACTTGGCCCCATTCGTCCTGGGAATACAAATTACGCGTCCTGGCCAAGTTTCATTGGCACCACCTTGGCAGGATTTCACGTAATGATTAAGATAGAGAGATTGTGTTAGTCTTTTGAGCACATTAATCGGAAGGGAATTCCTCCTTTTTCCCTCCGGGAGTGTAACCCATTAACAACTTGAACCTACGACAATGTGTAGGGTCTAGGGTGCACGCAGTCGGGGAAGCAAGATGAAGCATGCACGGCACCTACAACATTGGCGTACGCAGGATTTTGCCGGGGGGGGGGGGGTCAGCCCTTTTCCGTGGTGACTTTTAAAACAAATCAGATGCTGGGGGTGTTGTTCAAATCGGACACTAATGGGATACTATCGAACATTAGTTGGCGCTACTTTTTGCGGCATATTTGCCTGCAGGCACGTGGTGTCGGTGAAAGACCTATTTTTTTTAAAAAGTCTTCTGGGGAGGGCCCCCCCCAAAAAAACCCAACCGTCACTACAATAACCAGGCGCGTTGGAACCGGGGGGGGGGGGGGTTAGATGGGCACTACCCCCCAGATTTTCCCAGGCCAACAAAAGTGCCCCTCTCGCGGTCTTTAATGTGCCATCTCGAGATGAAAACAAAACTGCCCCTCAACGCACACATGAAATCATTGTGATCGCGCTAAAAAAAATGGCTCCACTCTTGTGCAAAAGTGAACCTCAAAAACACAAATACCCCTCGAGCATTAAGAAGATTGTGAACTTTTTGAGATGGAAAACTCCCCCTCCCGAAAGCGCAAATATCCCTCTCGCACTAATAAAATTGTGCTATTCTGGAGTGGAAAATTGGCCAGCAAAAACAATAGTGCTCCTTTCGCGATAAATATCGAGATGGAAAACTGCCCCTCGAAAGTACAATTAGTGCTCCGATCGCAACATTAAAATTGTGCCCCTCTCATGATTTTAATTTTTACCACAAACATTTTAAAAGTGCATATCAATGTTGTAAGTAATTTTGTTCCGAGTAACATTGTATTCTTTGCAATGTGAACGAAGATAGTTTCACAATTGTCTCCTCCAGTTTCACAACGACGGAAGGTGCCTTTTTTTCTGAGCAAGTGCCCCTTTTTGATGATTCCCCCTCCCAGTTTGAAAAGCATTCCGCCGCCGCTGAAAATAAGCCAATCCCCTCTCCAATCACCTGCCCCCTAAAGAAAATTAATTAATTAATTAATTAAATATATTTATTAATTGATTAATTGTCCAGGTTCATGTTTTACTTTCTTTCTTTTCTTTTTCTTTCAGACTAAAACCATTGCAGTGTATTGTGGCATTGCGTTTGAACCATGTTTTTTTTCGCGCAGAAGACTGGCATTTTCAAAAGTCCCATCATACGTGCTGGTGTTTCTGACTGTGAAAGCTCCCTAGAATCAATGCTAAACTACGGAAGACGGATAGTGCCACTCAATGAGTGTGAATATATTTTTTTGGTACGTGTGAACATATTTTTTTGTACAGCGGCCGCCACTTATTATGTGGCGGCCGCCACTTATTATCTGGCGGCCGTCAGATAATAAGTGGCGGCCGCTGTACAAAAAAATATTTTCACACGCACCAAAAAATATATAATCACACTCATTGAGTGACACTATCCGTCTTCCGTACTAAACAGACGGCCTGGGACCTCTAACACATTTTTGGCGATCGCAGTTGAACAGTGCAATTGTATTTAATGGGTTAATGTTATTTTTGTGGGCAATTTACAGGGGCGTAAATCCCGGTGATATAGGGTATCCCCCCAATTTATGCCCGGGAGTGGGCTGTTGAATCATCCCCCACTTTTTCGTCGGCACAGATTTACGACAATGGCATTTTATCATGCTTTTGCTTGCGTCAATGCTATGACATCCATTCCCTTGAATTTCAAGTAAAGCCAGCCATCTATCAGTAGTCATGAGGAGAACGAATTAAGAATCCACCTGTGCATATTATGGCATGATACGTATGTCTCGTCAGCTGACACAATAAGTTAATAGTCACCTTTATCCCGAGTCACATGTTGTTGTTCCCAAATACACGAGAGAAACGATCAACATGTATTATCCGTGAGACCCAGCTGCTGCATGCATGAAGAAAAAAAATTGGCGGGTCACATTTCCCCGTCACAACAGAATATCCCTCAAATCTAATCAAAAACTAGAAACGACAAAGTCTATAAAAACACCAGACGTTCAAGTCATGAAACCAATAAATCAGTTAACAATTTCAAGGTGTTTCTTCAGGGGCGGGGTCGTTGGAAAAATAGGATAACCGGAAGAGATGTCCTTGTCAGTGAATGTGTTACTGCGATAATACAGTTGATTTGAATTG